AACAGTTGAAATATGAAATACACAGCTAAAATATATAAACTTTTATTCTATTTTCAAAGGTAATATTATGTTTAATCAGATACAATATGAGAGCTTTAGTGATAAGTGATAAGATAAGCGATAAGCGCTATAAAGTAGCACCGGATCTTAATAATTTACCTATCTGTGGTTTTCTTTATACTATATATATATATATATATATGATATATATATATATATATATATATATGATATATATATATATATATATATATATATATATATATATATATATATATATAGTATAAAGAAAACCACAGATCTATGGAGTACAGATTAGAGATAGTCATTTGATATAATTTATATAGAGCTTATATATATATATATATATATATATATATATTTATATAAATATATATATATATAAGCTCTATATAAATTATATCAAATGACTATCTCTAATCTGTACTCCATAGATTATTAGTTGGGACTCACTTATTTCCACTTAATAAGTATACCTACATAGATATGTAAAATCGTGACTAACATTTCTCACAAAGGAAATTTATTTTTCTTAAATATTGCGATGCAATGCGAGACGTCGTGGAAGATCTCAATAGATATATAGTAAAAAAATCGACGGGAATTAGTTATGGTTGCCACACATCCGGTACTTGACCAACTAAACAGTAAAAGCCTTCCGTTCCACACACGATATTTCAATTTGGACTTATGTTCCACTGAGTAGTTCGAGGCTTTTTGTCAACATTGCGCTTAATTTGCTTTGCCCTACAATGAGAAGGCATTTTCTAACATTATCGCAATTACTTAAGGAGGTGCCTATCTATATTATATTTGGTAGTTTTGATGATTTATTTTAATGCTATACAGAACCCTTTCTTTGTCTTAATTGGCTAAAATCGCAAATTATTAAATAGTTAATAATAAAGGCTCTCTCGGCTTTTACTCTACTCATAAATCGTAACTAAAACTCTAAATACATACTATGTAGGTACCTACTACTTAAAACATACTTAATAGAAAATGTGGGAAAATTCAAAGTTATAAAGTGTCAATATTTTCGTAGCCGTATCATGGAGCGTCATGATTAAATATCGTGTAGTATATTTACTTTTGGATTTGATACCAATAATTGTAATGCCTACCACATTCGTTTGGTCTGTTTAACTTGCATATCAAAATGTTTAATAGCCCATAAAAATTAATGTAAAATGGCGGATCGTTTACGATATCTCGAAGTGCTGGCAAATCAATGCCGTTTTAAGTATCTATTTTAAGTCGCTGGAGCGTCGTTAGGCACCAGTTCATACGTTTTTTCGTGAACGGTTTTTGCAGAGATCACTTCTACAATATAAGTGCCAGATTCGTTGAACACTTTCAATCCGTCGTCACGCACGACGGAGAGCCGACGAATTGGCTTGCTTCGTATGCTTTCGTTTTGTATTGTTTTTAATTCCACTAGTTTTTGGTAATGAGTTTAAAATGAGGAAGTGGACATTGTATTCGCGACTACTTACATAAAATATCTATACATATAATAAAATTGTAACTAAGCTGAATCTGTACATTAAATATTTTTTGGAAAATCTGATTGAAATAAACATTATTATCGATACAGAGGCCGAATCTATAGTTTTTAGAATTTTTGGTCATCTGAACGCGGGCGGAGCCGCGTGCAATGCTAGTTTATTTATATTTTAGCAAAGTTTTAGTTCACACATCCAAATACAACAACACCAATATAGATCCTTATTTGCCTATTGTCACATAAAGTGATAACAGACAAGCCAAATTAAGTTGTATGCGGGTAGCTGTTGATTGGTTTCTGTGACGGAAGTTAATAAAATATTCATGTGGCAAATGAGAGAGTATTATTATGATTTATTCTTCGGTCCCTATTTGGCGTGTCGGTGTGGGCGAAGTGTGGTCGTCGTCAACTATTGCATCAATATTCGTTATTAGTGACCTAGGTGGCTTGTGGTCGCGCCTAAAACAATATCAATCTCTACATAATGACAAGAAACAACAGTATTACAACACTGTGTTAAGGAAAATGTATACCTATTTATGTTAAATTTATTTTGATCTTTACCTTGTTGAAAACGTCTAATATACTATTTTTGAATTAATTACCTAATTTTAAAATCATTATTTTATCCGCTTATAAAATATATAAACAAAATACATATCTTGTTTTCACTGTGTTCACTTAGTTCTTTGTTTTGCTTTGATTTTACGCGTGAAAGTATTTAGAATTGCTTTTATAAGCTTTATTAAATTACTAGCATTGCCCGCGGCTCCGCCCGCGTTCAGGTAACCAAAAACCAAATTCTTAAGTTTTACATATTAGTATACTCTTACATTACAGTTTTTGTATTTTTTTCAGAAATAATTTTTATAAATATTTTTATAAATAATTTTCCCGCGGTAAAAAGTATCCTATATGTTGACCCGGATAACCAGCTATCATCATACCAAATTTCATCAAAATCCCTCCAGTGGATTTTCTGTGATGCGGTAACAGACAGACAGACAAAAATTCTAAAAACTACAGATTCGGCCTCTGTATCGATAATAAAGTCTATTTGAATACGATTTTCCAATAAAATATTTAATGTACAGATTCGGCTTAGTTAGAATTTAACTATACGAGTATGTATAGATTACTATTGCAAACTCGATTGAATGCATCTCTTCAATTCTTCAATTCGCTATACTGAATAGGTAATCAAGGTATACACATAATTTACAAATTTATGTGCACAAACAAGTACGCTACTTATGTAAGCAGTAGAATAAGTGTGAGAAAAGAGTAACCTATATAAATTGAATTTTAAAGATCGCTTAAGCCTATTATTATAGATTGAAACGTTGACAAGGTACCCGTCACTGTATCTGAAGTTAGTATCTTAAGTTTAAAGGTCGCCTATCGCGTCCATCATTGATCATTTTACAACATAAGTTATATATACTACCTTTCTATATAACGGCCATGTCTATTGTCTATACTAGATGTTGTCTGCAGTTTGACCCGCATGTAGCGAGCTATTTCGGTTTAGTGATTAACCACAGATCACATAATACTATAGGTATTAGGCAGAGCCATTAAAATTACCCCCGTTGTATATAAGAGCGCGTAATGCGGGTATATCAATCATTATATTTGAATCTACTCAAAAAATTTAAATCTATACATATAATAAAATTGTAACTAAGCCGAATCTGTAGGTACATTAAATATTTTTTTAGAATAACTTATTGAAATAGACATTATTATCAATACAGAGGCCGAATCTATAGTTTTTAGATTTTTTGTCTGTCTGTCTGCCTGTTACCGCATCACAGAAAAACTACTGGAGGGATTTTGATGAAATTTGGTATGATGATAGCTGGTTATCCGGGTCAATATAGGATACTTTTTACCGCGCCAAAATGTCTCATTTCTAAGAAAAAATACAAAAACTGCAATGTAAGAGTATATATACTAATATGTTAAACCTAAGAATCTGGTTTTTGGTCATCTGAAAGCGGGCGGAGCCGCGGGCAATGCTAGTAATCTATATAAGTACCTATTACCTACGTATGTGTATATTAAATTTTGACTTTTATACAATAAAACTTCCCAATCCAATCATCCTGCCCTCTTCAAAAATTGCCAAATAAATGTACCTAAATGATAAATTTACGAATGGATTTAGCTCTACAGAATACGCGGCTAACATATACAGATCATGTAGTGTGTCGTGATAAAGGTACGCATAATTTAGCAACTTCTGGGCTATACCTATATATTTTAAAGTACTAGTCTGGTTATGGAGAAGTAAAACAGCTTACGATCCGATAATAGGTAGAGTCTTCAAATCAACATTTTTCTTTTCTTAATCTTCTGTTGATTCGTCTTTAAAGAACTTGATTCAACTTCCACCGGGAAAAAATAACAGAAATATAAATACAAGGTATCACGACAATGGTTTCAAATGAAATACCTAATTTCATTGTGTGAAATGCATCGCGTATTTATAAACACCGCAAAATGCATACCTATGTTCACTCAGACAATAGAATGATAAACCTTATAGGAAATTCATACGTTTAGGTTTAATTATATTACATTCAACATAATACTGTCTTAGATTTTCTTTATTTATAATGCCAATACATTGAAACCGCAATAGTAAATAAACCGTTCCGTCGGAAATCAATCTTAGAGAGGCTAGCAAACCTAGGCTAAGGCTAACCAGTTTTATAACTCTCAAGTTTCCCGGTCTTTTATTTATTTATTATAATTTAATGGATATATAAAATTTATGATACTTTTTAGTAACATCGGATATGTCGTCATAAATATAAAATATTATATATTATATATTGTGCGTGCGTGTTAGTCCACTTTATCAATTACCACAATACTTCCCGCGAGATGTATTCACCGACCCGTATGTCCTGCATCATCATAAATATAATGACGTAACCCTAGTCGACCTTGTTTGAGGGCTACTGTCAACGTACATAATATGCTAAGATCCCAGTTCAATGTTTACACCCACATATGTTTATTATATTGCTTAATTTCTGTAGCCTTTAGGTTAAATGTGAATGCAGTAAGTAGTTTACGATGTGTACAATGACGAAATATTTTTTTAAATTTATTTTGCTTAAATCGCAATAAAGGGTAACTTTATTCGGTTTATTGGCATCTTAATAAACATTTATGAACTTTGTAAAGTCACACATTCGCATTAATTTCTAATAATATGAAATAAGGAGCCATCGAAAGAAATTCTGTAAGTAAAATGTAAATAAAAATATTTTTACATATTTTTAATTGATTTGAAATTATATTATTTTAAAGTTATTTTTATCCATAAGTAATTTTAATCTTCAATTACATTATTAATGACACAGTATGTCAAAGTGATTTATGTATGTCCGCAGTTTAAAATTACGATTTAATTTATCCGCTAACCATCTCTCTATCCAATCAAACATTTTTAACCCACCTGAATATGAAGTATGATTAAACACAGAATATCACAATCACTACACTTGATCCCTTTGTCTGGTGTTGTTTCGTATTGCTGGTCCGCGGCCGTACTTCTCGCGCTTGTAGTCGGAGTGACGCGGCGCGCGCGCATACGAGTGGGAGGCGAAACTTGCTGATCCTGCGCTACTGGCAAACTCAATTACCGCTCATATTACTCTAGTTACGATTTAACTGCTTGATTCACCAAACCATATTGACCATGTCTTGTTATGGAAACTTACTATTAATTTTTTTGGTAGTTTAAGCAGTATCTTAGGCTAGGCTAACGATAGTTATTGTAAACTTGACCATAGAATTATTTTCTTTTCTGCTTCTTCAAATTATTATAGATTAGTACTAAGTTTGAAATGTGAAATATCATTTTTTCACTGTTTTTTTTGTGATCTAAGTTTTTGCAGTAGGCGGAGCCTCTTACACACTAAATGTAGGCGGTTCTTTTATCGAACAGAGTACGTCACAAGGCTGCATTAGTCACAGTTTATTATAAAAGCACCCATTGTTATCAAATAGATACAAATGTAAGGGTTGAAAAAATACAGATGAATGGATGACAAACATTGTTGGTCAAACTAGTTGGTTGGTAATTATCGATTATCTAATCCGTAGTTATTTGAGTTCTCCTAACATGAATCATGCGACTCCATTTTGCTGCAGTATGACGATAATTGTAGATTTGTATGTAAATTATTTTTAGGTAAACAAGTAACGTCGTTACGATTAGAAATCAGTTCAAAAGCACCTTATATTTAACTACCCTATAGTTTATAGAAAGCTATCACATATCAGAGCTTATTTAAAAAACCTTGCATTATGTATGCAAATATTCCTTAATCTGGTTGACCTGGCTCTTTCGAATTAGTATGTAGGTAGAATTTATTTTCATATATGATGATCTCCTGACCGATTCCGGCCACGGCGGCCAATCTCATAGAGACTAGCCAACTGCGCAGGAGATATTATAGTGCACAAGTGTACGCGCAGACACAACGTGCACTCTCTATTCCTGTCACTCTCATACTTCGGTGGGACGACTGCTCGACACGACCAGTGAGAGTTAAGGCGCAGGACCGACCGGCTTTACGTGCTCTCCGAGGCACGGGGGTAAACACCGCCAACTTCCCAACTCCGGGCTGTTACTGAGGCTAACTATACAGAAAGACTCAATAACTAAACTTGGCCCGACCCGGGACTCGAACCCAGGACCTCCGGGTGTGCAGCCGTACATGCTAGCCACTACACCACCGAGACACTTGAAAATATATTATGGCTTTGAAATATAATCAAAGTAAGGAAAACGAAAATATGTGTTCGTACAACTTTGCGTTATTTTCATGGGCGTACCCAGTTAGGGGCTGGATCGTGTATGTCTACGTACCTACTGTTGTCGACAAAGTTATGTTTGAGTCAGGCTACGAGTGTTACGAATTACTTTATAATATGTGTTGACTTATAAAAAAATTGCGCTGCACGCCCAGTCAACTCGTATTCATACAACACGCTAGAGCAGCGAGCGAGCGTCGAGCTCCACGCTTGCCTGGCACTCGCTACCGCGCCAACGACTTCCGAGGATTATAATTGTATCCATTCTAGCGCTTGTGTACTGGCCTGCGAGCTCGTATTTGACATGTTATTGTTTTGGAAGAGCCAAACGTAGGTGACAAAAAATAATCAATTTCCATATCTATACATACATATAATAAATTGTAACTGATCGCTATCTGTACATGGGAGATATTTGAGAAAAACTATTTTTGGGGGTTTTAGTAACGCGATAGAACCCAAAAAAATGAATTTTAGAATTTTTGTCTGTTTGTCTGTGCGTTATGGATGCGGTTTTCACGAATGTATTTTATGGTAAGCTTCACTTAACATTTAGTATTCGTTTTATTTCAATCGGTTCATAAATAAAAGTTATGTAAATTTAATAAAAAAAAACCAGAAACATTTATTTAAAAAAAAGTTGTGTATACTTATGTAAGCACGTAAGAAGTTATACTTCTTTTTTTTTTAGAGCATTTAAAGAAAATCTTGTTTTTTTAAATGTTTTAACTGTTTTTTAATGATTCTTACTTTTTTTTCGTATTCTTCTCAGCAAACCCTTTCATTTGATATCCATATCAAGGGGGTGCAAAATAAATAGTCCGCCATATTAAATTTTATAATGACGTCACTTTGCTTATTGTGTTTCGCTCACCAAGTCGTATTGGATAAAAAAATGGTGGCATTTAAGAAATCGTACAGTCACGAGAGTCAAACGTGTGTGCCAAATTTCAGCTCAATCGGACAATTGGAAGTGGGTCAAATTTAACTTGTAAGATTTGATTACAGACAGACACTGATACAGGTGAAACTAATTAAAATTCTGTAATAATTTTTATATTTGTCGATGTAAAACACGTGTTGTGTATATAGACATAAAATAAACCACAAAAAACTTCACATGGTAGCCAATAACGACTAACTTCACACTGTGGTCAATAACAACTAACTTCATACTGTAGTCTAAATCTGTCGCATCGTAAAAAATCACTCTCATCATCCATTTTTCATAACGCGCCAAAAGAAGTATAACTTCAAAAACGCTTTAAAATACTGTTTAGTTGATTTGGCTGAAACTTTGGTTAATTATATTTATATTTGGTTAATTTATGTATTTTGTAAAACAATGATGATTGAAAGTTTATATGGACAAAACAAACTCAAAAAATGATAATTTCAGAAAAGACGCTGCCAATGTAAGTTGAGACATCTATGTTAGACCAGGGTTGATAATTTTTGAAACAAAAAAAAATAGTAGGTTGAAACCTATTCGAAAAGGAAGAGAATATAATAAAAATGAAAGGAAAAATAATTTACGGGCGATCTGAGGTCGGCAACTTTGCCATTTAACTTTTTTCCATAGGACTTGTGGTTTTGCCGGAAATCGAGATAAGCCGTTTTTTACCCTTAAAAACTCACCCCCTCCCACTTCCCGACCTCAGATCGTCCATAAATTATTTTTCCTTTCATTTTTGTTATATTCTCTTCCTTTTCCAATGGGTTTGAATGAAAAAAAATAGTAGAATGTACTATTTTTTTTTCACTTTTTCACCAATTTCAAAAGCTTCAGCCTTGGTCTTAATGGTTAAGCATAATAAACATCGTTTAACTTAAACGACAAATTGAGAACCTCCTCCTTTTTTTGGGAAGTCGGTTAAAAATAATTAGGATTCGGTGCAAAAAAATTAAAATCCATGAAATTGTGAACAAAAACCTAGGGAAATCGAGGATAAGTCGTTTGTCTACCTATATGGTATTTAAAAATCTGGTTGATATTGTGTGCAGTGTGCAATCTGTTGAGCAATAATTAAAAGTGACCGCTAAATAAAAATGGACATTCGAATTTTTTAGTTTTCATGTAGTGTGTAGGGAGAAACAAGCACAGGTGACAGGTAGGCGCGGATCTAAAGTTAAACTTTGGGGGGATCAAAGGCTGAAATATACGAGTACATATAGTAAAACAGTAACTTAGAAAAATCTGTACATGAAATATTTTTTAAAAACAATGAGTTTTAAAAAAAATAATGAAAACCTTAAGTTTTATGGCTTTAAAACTTTAGCAGGTATATAAAGAACAAAAATCCGTAAAACGCTCCTGCTGTTCAGCTACTCCCGAGAAATGGGGGGATGTAAAACGTTAGAAAATAGTTTCTTTTTCAATTTCTGGCTTGCTGTGACTTACTATCGAAAACATTCTTTACAAAAGTTGTAGGTCTAGTAAAAATCTACGACTTTTGCAATAACCTCAAAGTTTTCGACGTATTTCCAAAAAAAAACGTTTTTTATTTATATCTTGTTTTTTTTTTAATTTTTAATTTCTGCAATTATTTTTTGATTTTTATGAAACTAGGGGAATATAATCTTCGAAAATACATATAATATCCATTTTTTTTTTGAAATTGAAATGTTTAATATTATATTAAAATTTATATTTTATAGTCTTAGGAGGCTGAAAATCACCCCCGACTTCAAGTGGATGTTTACATTTAAAAAAAACTGTTGTTCAATTTTCAGATAGGGCTAATTTTTTACATCTTGCACTGTACTTTTTGAAGAAATAAAAACATTGTATGGTCGTACTGTAAAAACACCCTTATTTAAGTTAAAGAAAAATTAAAAAAATTTTTTTATTATTCTTTCCTTCTTAAACTCCAAACTTCTTAAAAAAGTATATTTGGCTTTTTTGAGGTCACGACCCACCAGGACAGCTTTGGCAAGGTTGTTGGCAAACAAAAACAACTTGAAGAATAGCCCGAATTAGCGGCGTCCAATTTATTATTTGGCATCTGTACTAGAATAGTATATGTCATCTGTGGTATTATTAAGACTCAAAATGGTAGTGATTTTCTCAAATACAGTGTGCTCTTATCCACAGACCAGGAACAAACAAGACTCTAATCAACGATCTAAGAACGTTATATATAAGCCGTCTCAGAGAAATCGGTGAACAAATATAAAAAAAATATACAGAAGAACATAAAACTGCTGGTACAGTTTTTGATAAGCAATAGCGTATTTTAAAATATTTAAGTATGTTATAACAAAATATATAATTAAATGCATATTAATGAATATTAATATGACTAACAAACTATCTTCTTACCAAACATCTAAATCGGTTCAGTAGATCCAGAAATTACCCCCTACAACGTCATAAATTCACAAACTCACAAACTTTACCTTTTTATAATATTAGTACAGATATTAAATTTTTTGTCTATTTGTCTGTTTGTGTGTGCGCGATTCACGCAAAAAGTATGTATTTAGCCCTTTTTAACGTCCCACTGCTGGGCACGGGCCTCCCTCAATACGAGGGAGATCAGGCCATAGTCTACCACGCTGGCCAACTTCGGGTTGGCAGACTTCACATGTCTTTCGAAAACTTGCTAGGTTCTCTTATACATGCAGGTTTCCTCACGACGTTTTCCTTTACCTTAAGGCAAGTGGTAATCATGTGAGAAATGATTCGCACATGAAAATATCAGAGGTGCTAGACCCGGGATTTGAACCCGCTTCACTCGGTTTCCCAAGCGAGCGCGTTACCACTGGGCTACCACTGCCTTTTAAAACGCAAAAAGTAATGAACCGATTTCAGCGAAAGGTGAAGTGATAACTTATTACTCGGGTCAACGTTTAGGATATCTTTTTCTTCAGGAAAATCTTTGTTTCCCACGGGAAATAACAATAACTGGTTTTATCGAGCCCTCCTTAGAAACCTCCTGCTAGCTAAACCTAAAGACATACATCAAAGTAATGTATAAAAAAAAGTTACATTCGCAATTATTATTTTTGTAATACTTTCTTAGATTTACGCAAATATTTGACATTTTAAATATAACGATATTTTCGGATTATTTTCCAACGTTTCGAATGCTTTACAGCAATCATGGCCACGGGAGAGACGTCGGGAACCAAAAATCAAAATAAATCCTTGAAATAATCCGAAATGATCGTTTTTATTTAAAATACTATTTTTATTATATACTAGCGACTCACCGTGCCTTCGCTCGGGATCATCGGCCACGGCGGCCAATCTCAATGAGACTAGCCAACTGCGCAGGAGATATTATAGTGCACAAGTGTACGCGCAGACACAAGTGCACTCTCTATTCCTGTAACTCTCATACTCTGGTGGGACAACCACTCGTCACGACCAGTAAGAGTAAAGGCACAGGACCGACGGCTTCACGTGCAGTCCGAGGCACGGGGGTGAAACACCGCCAACTTCCCAACTCCGGGCTGTTACTGAGACTTAATATACAGGAAGACTCAATAACTAAACTTGGCCCGACCCGGGACTCGATCCCAGGACCTCCGTGTGTGCACCGTACATGCTAGCCACTACACCACAGAGGCAGTTAATATAAACTATATATACATATTATATGTATACATATATGTATGTACAATGTACATACATAGGTATAGAAAAGAAGGTAGGTAAGTATTATAAAAAATAAAAAAATATATGTCCCTTACTTGAGAAATGATTGATTTTCCATTCAATCTTCCACCCCCCTTTTCACTCCCTTATATATTATGTTTACCGGGATGAAAATTATCCTATGTCATTCCCAGGGATTCAAAATATTTCCATACCAAATTTTATCTAAAACGGTTCAGCGGATTAAGCGTGAAACAGACAGACAGAGTTATTTTTGCATTTAATATTGGTATGGATATATAAAGCTGGTTTTTTTATGTATGGTTTTTTTATATGTGCTGGTCTATCATCATCGGCTGAACGTTGATAAGTCAGTCAGTGAGTCTATATATATCTATACTATAATAAAACTGTAGAGGTCGAATGTCTGTACATAGAAAAAAAATGCTAAAAACCGAGTCAGGGGGATGGATATAAGAAGACAAATAAAACAAATCCAGATTTTTTCAAATTTTTTGTTTCTCTGTCTGTTTGTACGGGCTAATCTCCGAATCTATTGGACCGATTTATATGAAATTTTGCATGGTGGTACCTTATACCCCCGGGCAACATGTTAGATACTATTTAACCCGGAAAATTAAAGAGTTCCCGTGGGATAGGTAAAAAACTATAATTTACTATATTAACTTATACACCTTAGTACACAAAAACTACTGATTGGATTTTAATGGAACTTTATAATAATATAGTTCATACATCAGAATAACAAATAGGTTATTTTTTTTTGTTCCCGTGGGATAGATGTGTATGTGCTTTTCTAGAGGCGAATCCAAGCGAAGCGAGGGTGAGCCGCTAATACTATAATAAAGCAGTAACTTAGCAAAATGAACATGAAATATTTTTAAAAACAATGACTGCAAGGTATTGCGTACACAATATAGATCCCAAAACAATCTACATGTACCATTATGTAGGTACATCTCGCGGCAAGGATTAAACGTGTCAAAATAACTCCACAAAAAATCCGATATGATCAGTTTATTTAAAATGTCAAATATTTGAGTAAATCTACGAAAGTTTAATACTAAAATAATTTAATCATAAAATAAAAACTTAATTCAATTCTTTATTATTTGGCTTTTAGGCGTGCCAGTTGGACACAATACATCGCAAATGTCGTGTAGAATGGAAAAGACACGGTAGTCTATAGATAAGGTATTAACCGGTTAAAAACCGGAAATAAATGAAAATTCTTTGCTTTTGCCAATCATTTAGAAACAATACTGTCAAGACGTCAGTGTCATGTCCAATATGTCAAGATGAGAGACAATCACTGCACATAATGTTGACTTTTATATTTTGGCATATAATAAAATTGTAACTAAGCCGAATCTGTACATTAAACGTTTTTTGGAAAATCTTATTGAAATAGACATTATTATCGATACAGAGTCCGAATCTATAGTTTTTAGAATTTTTGTCTGTCTGTCTGTTACCGCATTACAGCAAAACTACTGGAGGGATTTTGATGAAATTTAGTATGGTCATAGTTAGCTGTCTGGGTCAACATATAGGATACTTTTTACCGTAGGGAAATATCTCATTTCTGAGAAAAAATACAAAAACTGGTTAGAACAAAACCACGATGATACTATATTCTAGCAAGGTAACATACTAAATAAAGCAAAAACTATTAAAAATAGCTTATCTTGAAAAAAAAAAAACAATAGCGCTATTTTATTTGGTCATCTGAACGAGGGCGGAGCCGCGGGCAATGCTAGTAATATTTAAAACTAGATTATTGCGTGCTCCCAAAAATACTAAAACTGATTAGGAAAGGTAAAAGTAGAAATAAAACAACAAATACTTCACGATAGTCTATAATATTTAACAGACTTAAATACAATCTTGTTTAACATTCAATTGGTTTCGTTCGGTACATAAGCACATCACACTTCGGACTATAACAATAAATAATTTCTCTAACATTGGAATATACTAATCTAATTGGCGACAATAAAATTCTAATAAATACGCTCATACGATGACACAATACGACTTGAATGCATGCGAAATTAATAACAATGCAGGAACTCCATTTACAATGTGAATAAGAATACCCTAGGAGCGAAATTCATAAAAAAATATATATATAAAATGTTAAAACCAATAGCCCTGTTACATGAAAGTATAAATGAAGGAACTCAAATTCATTTATCTTCAACGCAATCTAACGCAATCTAATATCGGGTAAAAAAATTAATAAACATCCTAACACAAAGATATCAGAGGAGTTACAATTAATATCACTGCGACTATCTATCTACTATGAGTACGTACCAGTTTGCGGTTACAACATTCAAAATTTTCAAATCGTTGGCAACATTTAAAATATAAAAATTTTCGAAATATTTAAAAATGCATTGAAATTTGTTCATTTAATATTGTATTTCTACGAGTATATTCGTATATGTATTTAAATTAATCAGTTCTTATACCGCTAAAACACTGATAAAGCCACTGTGGTTAGCAAACGGAACGTACTCGTTTACATGAAAGAGAAACTACGCTATACAAATTGTTAATACATGATTAAAATAGTTTACATGAAATGGTAACTAAAAAAACAAGCTAAATAATTTTTGTGCAATTCAAATTTGCTCACGGTTTGAGGCAATATATAATTTTATTGCTTAAATTGTTAATAATTTTTTAATCGTACATCTAGATTCTAGACTTGTATAATAAAACGAAAAACAAATACTAAACGAAACAAAAGCCGCATTTTTAAGCGGGAAGCTCAATTAAAATGTTCAATTACATTACAGCTATAAATAAAACAACGTGCTTTCAAATCTGCTTTTGCTAAAATTTGGTTTTCTATATTAATTAATTCAGTTTTGTATAACAGATTGTCATGGACGAATTTTTGAGACTGACAACGCAAAAGTAACTTAAGTCAATTAATATGAAAAAATGGATATATACATACTTTAATACTATATCTTTAAATTTATAGCATGAAATAAAACGTTCAAAAATATTAAAATACAAATATGTATATCTCTTAGCATAATCATGAGAATAATTGTTACTACTTATGCGCTGACACCATTTGGCAGAGCCGTGCGAGATTTGAAAGCAAATGTTTGCGAATGTTTTAAATAAGTAAAAATGCCTACATAATTCATCTAAATAATAGGAGTATGTATGTACAGAGCTCAGAGCTCGATTTCACTATTTCATAGACTAGAGTCTTCTTCAGGCGACCATCACCACATGTGCGTTTCGCGTATCTCACTAATAATCTGTCCAGCGCGTTGTAAAGCCTGTAAACAAAATAATATAATATTACAAAATGTAAAAAATATTTCTTCAATTCGGGCCGCGGACATTAGCGTAGTAAGGAACAAACAAACCAACTCTTCTACTTTCTAGCTACTTGATAAAGATGTAGACAGTAATATGATGTATAAGTCAAATGACAAATTCTTAAGCAAAGGAAAAACCTAACAACGAAATATCTTCCCAATATTTAATATGCCTCTCTTAATATGTCCATAGGTCTGAAATAGGCAGTAAGTAGTAGCCCAGTGAAAACGCGCTCGCTTGAGAAACCGAGCTACGCGGATTCCAATTCCGGGTCTCGCACCCCGGCTATTTTCATGTGCAAATAATTTCCAACATGTTTTACGGCGAATTAAAACATATTGATAAAACCTGAATGTCTTAGAGAACCTAGCAAGTTTTTGAAAAATATGTGAAGTCCGCCATACGTCATTTGTTCAGCGTGGTGGACTGTGGCCTGATCCCGTTCCTACTGAAGGGAGGCCCGTGCCCAGCAGTGAGACGTTCAATAAGGCTGAATACATAGATTTATAAATATATAAGGTTGCTCTAGATACCTTAAGCATATCGGCTGCCTCCTTCCTCCTCTGAGCGATGTGTTCGGACTCGTTGAGCAAGCTCTCTGCTTGGTCCGACTTGTACAGGTGTGTCACCAACTCCGACTGGAGGTTATCCTTCACGTAGTTAACTAGGAAGTGCATCACGGCCTTCGGGACAGAGTCCTTGATGGATTTGCGCACTATGTAGAAGTATGATTTGATCAGCCGCTCTGAAATTTAGATTAATTTGGGATTAGTTTTTTGTGTCACGTTTTTATATATATGTATATATATTGATATAAGTGAGTGTTTTATTTTATATTAAGAAAGTAGGAAACAGTGCAACGTGTCATATCAGAAATAAATACTATGTACAACATTAATAACATTACTTTGTTCTAATGTTTAAGCAGTGACGAAAATTATTTTGATATATGAAAAAAACGGTCTAACCTTAATTACAAACATGTAACAGGCTAAATTATATGCAATCATTGGTATACTATAGACTATAAGGTGCTAAAGAACAGGGATATAAAATAAAATAAATTTGGAAAAAATTTAAACATAGTAAATATAACCACTCTTATTTACATTCGATTTCAATCATTACATAGTAGTGCATAGTACAATAATATATGTATCTGAGATATGATTCATTATGATCTCAGGAATTAGTAATCCGATTTGAATTTTTTTTTGCATTAGATAGCCCATTTATTGAGGAAGGCTATAGGCTAGATATCATATAGATAGTCTATCTATCCATATTAACCGTGACGATTACCATAAATAATCCAGTAAAAATTACATATTATTACATACATACATATATGTACTAACATATTTTTTATTGTTATAGTTGTTCATATATAATCAGTTCTCGCTATTGTATATATTATATATTTAATATATTCGAGATATCATCATATCAGAGGTAAATAGAAGTGGTCAAATTCCCATAAGAAGCGGCAAGCATCAAGCGGGTCAGCAATATCGATGAAAGGTGGTCGGAAACCCTACATACATAAAAGTGAAGGAATGAGAACTCGATATAAGCATTATTTGCGCATTGCCACTATAGTTTATTCCTCACCAACTAAATCACCCATTTGGCTCAAATGCATCATGTTGATGCCTGGTACATTGTCTGAATAAGAATTTTGGTTTGTCGTGTGGTCGCTCCGCCCACCTAGCATCATAGGAATGTAACCGATCAATGTGATGTCTTGGTCATTGTTATAAATAAACTGCTTTTGTATTTAATATTGTAATCTTATTATATTTCTCAAAACTATATTTAATTAATTTAATAAAATTATTTCAGAGGAATTTTAATACGACAAAAGAAAAAACATGTCAAATGGATAAAGAAATTTTTAAAATATGTCATAGATAACAATATTTTGAAAGAAAAATATCTTTCAACATAGGCAATAAACATAAACAATGCATTTGGTTATTATGGATCCATAATGAATATCAAATGTTATTATGACCAAGTCACATAAATAATGTAAAAACGAAAGGTGTATTATTAGTATGATGGTTCATTGTATATTATTTATTTGTTCTGGAATAAGTATTATAGTAGGGGAGCCCAAGAGGGGATTTTCTGTAGTTACTCGAGCGCGGCAGATTAACATAAAAGAGGTTACCTTGCACTCTATTGAGTACTTTCACCATAATATAAGTCTTCTATATAAAGAGGCGCGTCTAGGGAAGCCGATTAAAATATTTAAAAAATGTTTTGATAAGGTAGAAATACTTGAAACCGTCAGATTAAGGTGTGGTAGGCTAGCCACATCCTGCAAAGTGTCCAATTTAATAATCTGCCGATTTGCACAAGCCTAAGAGGCAAAAATCATCATAAACTTTATAGTCGATTTTTGCCTCTTCGGCTTGTGCAAATCGGCAGATTATTGAATTGGACACTTTTCAGGATGTGACTAGCCTACCACACCTTAATCTGACGGTTTCAAGTATTTCTACCTTATCAAAACATTTTTTAAATATTTTAATCGGCTTCCCTAGACGCGCCCCTTTATATAGAAGACTTATATTATGGTGAAAGTACTCAATAGAGTGCAAGGTAACCTCTTTTATGTTAATCTGCCGCGCTCGAGTAACTACAGAAAATCCCCTCTTGGGCTCCCCTACTATTATTACAAATGATATGCGAATATGTATACATATATTATATATGCAAATCATGACACTACACTACTTTGTCTTTAGCAACGCGACTAGAGCGGTTAGAAAAGTTAGGTCTTACTATATTAATACTATATAATAGAATAATTAGCTCATTAGAATCCAAACTTTGAACATTATTTTATTACTGTGGCAAATAAAAAATATATTTAGATACTAGCATTGCCCGCGGCTCCGCCCGCGTTCAGATGACCAAAAACCAAATTCTTAGGTTTTACTTATTAGTATACTCTTACATTGCAGTTTTTGTATTTTTTCTCAGAAATGAGATATTTTCCCGCGATAAAAAGTATTCTATATGTTGACCTGGATAACCAGTGACCATCATACCAAATTTCATCAAAATATGTCGAGTGGTTTTCTCGTGATGCGGTAACAGACAGACCGACAGACAGACAGACAAAAATTCTAAAAACTATAGATTCGGACTCTGTATCGATAATAATGTCTATTTCAATTAGATTTATCAAAAAATATTTAATGTACAGATTCGACTTAGTTACAATTTTATTATATGTATAGATGACAATTCAACAGAATATTTAAGTATATTTTTTTTTATTAAATTTGTTTTGCAGTAATATTGATTCATTTTTTATTTATATAAAAACATAATGCTGTATGTAGTTTGTTGAACAAGAAATATTATATTAAATAAATATAATGTAATTCAACACAAAGCAGTTAATCAATGTTATCTAATTTATAATTAAGTACAAGTTAATATATGTATATCCATACCAATAACATCACAGTCATGCTGTTCCCTGTCCGAGAGCTTTCTAGAAGTCTGGCTGGGGACTTCAGGTAGAAGGTTGACTGGTTTCTGTGGAGTAATCGCTTTGTTCTCTGGAGTGCCATTCATCTATGAAGATATCATACTTTCTTAGATTTACGTGAATAATTGAAATTTTAAATAAAATTATCTTTGAAGATTATTTCGACATTTCCCGACGTTTCGAGTCTCTCCCGTAACCATGATTGCCGTAAAGCATCAAAATGCCGGGAACCAAACATAAATCATAAATCCGCGAAAAAATCCAAAAATATATTTTAATTTAAAATATGAAGATTATGGTTAAATATTTTGTAACAATATGCCACTGATGTGCAAAAAGTGCAAATAAAATAAAAATTAACATTATATACAAAACATTCAACTTATTCTGTATCTACCTTTGAACCCTTTGAAGTTATGGTAATTTTTAACATTAATAAAACTCTTATGTGTATTTTTGTAATACACATAAGGTATATGTAGTATATTAATAACGAAACAAATGTAAAAAATAAAAAAACGTGTATGTACTTATGTGCGTACGTCAGAAATTATACTTCTTTTTCGTAACAGAACAAAAATAGCTAAAGATTTTATCCCGTATGTCACAACTCCGTTTTTTAAAAGGAATGCAATTAACTTCATCATGTCGCTTTTTGGCTGTCGGAGTGCGTGCGTATCTTAAAAATTTTACTCTCACATTTTTTCCAAACGCGCCAAAAGAAGTATAACTTCAATAATGTGATATTAAAATGCAAGTTCCATTGCAAGTGTTGCTGAGTGATAGTTGATACCAAAATATATCTGATCATACCTGAGGTGAAATAGGAGATTCGTTATGTTGCTGCGGCGGCGAGCGGTCGTGGCGGTCGTGGCGGTCGTGTCCGTCGGTAATGGCAGGCATATGCTGCTAACAATATCATATTATTATTATTATGAAATAATTATGCCTTTCGTTATATCGCTGGGCTCGATAATATAGGACATATTTCACGTTTCAAATTCATTTTTTTTTTCAGCATTCAATTATTACAATATTTTGTCCATGAGCAAACCACCAATACGGAAATAAGAAGTCGACCAGACGAAAGAAACTCAGCGGGACCTAAATTATAATTTTTTATATTTAGCGCGGAAGCGATCCTGCAACGCTCTATTAAGGCGGAGAAGGATATTGGGTTCTAGACTTCTAGGGTATCTAGTACTGGCTTGTCTAGCCGGCGAGCCCCATACAACCACTTGTCTGCGTATCCCATGCGTAAGTACATTTTCCAATGTTATAAATGAGGCAATATTCCACGCTGGCCATACTTTTTGGTAGACTCCACACATGTTTAACGAAAACGTAGTTAATTGATCACAGACATGCACGATGGTATTTCACCATGTTTTAAGCTTTTAGTTTATTTTTAATTATCACGTTAAAGATGAGACTGAGATAGGAAAACAGAGGCAAGCTGTGGAATTTGATCTGATTTGAGTCCACTTAGTTGCCTAAGCAAGCATTATCATAGGCTAGCTACTGTCAAAATACACATGTATATCAAATATCCATGCATAAAACACAATCATTCTCAACGAAAATATTTGGTACAATGTGTCAATAAATTAGCCTAATATTTCTAATGTTTTGAATTAATATACATTATGATGTGTTATGAGCCGTGTCACTGGAATGAGGGCTACCGCGCTTGAATTCGCCGCGAGCGGTGCTACTGTTAGGAACTTTAGTTTATTGTAATTTGAACACGGATTGTTACAAGGTAATATAAAATATATATTTCTATTCACGCTTCTTAGCGATGGCCAGGAGTGTCTGTAGCCTCCCATGATGGCGGACACGGTACAAATTTTATACAGATTATAAACAACATAATTAAAGTGACGTTCGAAAACTTATGATTTGAAATCTAAATTGTGTTAATATTGTATATTAATAATTATTATTATACGCTACACTAGTGTCAAGCCGCGAACTGTGCAGAGTGAGGTCTCCAGAACAGTTTGAGAGCTTTTCATCGCGTATTTTCTCTAATTATTCATGATTATTGTACACATTGTTCCAGTCCTGATTAATAGGGAATATGCGTTTTTTTTTAATTTTTATATACAATAGCTAACATCGTTATATAATTGCAAAAAAATCCATCTCTAAAAACTAAAATTTAGTATAATTTTTTTTAAATATCATACCGATACGGATACTTTAAACGCCCGCCATTTGGCGCATTTGGTGTGACGTGAAAGTATTATATATAGAAAAATGACAACTTTACTTTGTAGAGACAAAAATTGATAAATGCTCTGTTATGATAATACTTTCGACTTCATATTCGGTCTGACCAATGGCGTGCGTTTCAACTATATTCAATTTCCCACCTATATATGGACTTTTTAATAAACTCAACTAATGTTATTACTATAAAAGAAGACCTAGAAAAAGTTAATATTTTATTGATTAATTATGCAGAACAAAATCCTGATAAACTGGTGCTGCGCTAACAATTATTATTATATTAAATTTATGGCCCTGCCACACTAACAAATACTTTTTAACAACAGCGATAGGATAACAACTTACACGCCAGTAGCGCCAACTGGTGCCACCAAAAGCGATAGCCCTCAATGCGATAAAACAACATGATATTAGAATTATTAATGTAGAAAATAAGAATGTATTGATAATGTAGAGTGTAAATTAAATAAAACTTGTAAGGAATAATTTGTAAAAACGCCTATAACTAAATTGTATTATTTTTAGCTTTTTACGTTAGTTTTATTCATTATATAATATATAATTTCGTTACTATAAAAATAAATTTCTTATACTAACGAAAGAAATTAATTATTACTAGCGATTTACCCTCGCTTCGCTCGGGCGCGTCCCTAGATACGTTTTAATTTTTTGAGCACTACCCTAATTCTTTTTCTAACATAAAAGTAGCCTAAGTTACTCCTAATAACTTCAGCTATCTGCCAGTGAAAGTCCCGTCAAAATCAGTCCAGCCGTTTCGGAGATTAGCTGGTACAAACAGACAGACAGATACATTTTAAAAATTTAGTTTTTCTTGTAAGTTCTGTATATAATTTCATATGCATTCAGTAAAAAGCAGTTTTTTGATATTACAGACACTTTAATTTTAATTATCTGCATAGATTAACAAAGTACAAAATATTTCAAATAATAATATTTTCATGCAACTCAATGATAGACAAAGAAATGTAAAACGTAACCTTTTAAAAATTTTAATGTTATAAATAATATTAAAAATGTAAGCATCTATTCACAGCTTATATAACACGTTGAGCGATATTATGGTGGAAAGAGAGCCCATATTAAGGAAAGCCATGAAAACACAATTGAACTGATTATGTTTAGTATGAAATAATGGCACGCGGTTTTTCTTAATGTAACGTGAACATTTTACTCGGAACACTATGACAAAGTGTTTCAGTTATTTACCTGGTATGAATCCAGTACTTTTGCCAAAAGTACTAACATGGACCCTCTTTCACCCATTTGGCGAAGAAATTGCTATAAAAAATCACTAACAGTTACTGCAATTCGTTTTAACTTGTGTGACTTGGTATTTTATAATATATGAGAAATATTCAATAAGTACATAAGATAAATTAAAATATGCAATTATGTTGTAATCATTGACTTATTATTAATAAACAGTATTTAATTTAGTTTATTAATAATGAAAATCCTAATTAAATAAAAAAATATTTTTAACACACTGACTGACTGATTGATTTACTTAGTGTTTATATGTTTATAAGTTATTAAAATTACTATATTTCTAAATATTTTGTTGTATAGATATCTGCATACATTTATTGGATAAGATAATTTATTTTTAGTAAAGATGCTATATAGAACAATAATTATAAAATATTCAATAATGTAACAATAGTGTACCTACACAGAGATATTTTCAATAATTCCATAAATTTAGTTAGTACAGTCATTTTTTGTTAATTCCAAATATTAGTATGTACATACATATATCCATATTATTAGAACCCAAACATGGGAAATCAAACAGCAAAATGTACACTCCACTGTAGTATAAGATATGAGCAGATAACGGACGAAGACCGTTTTGTTTTTTACCACAAAGGTAAAAAATCTTTCTGACAACATACAGTATTTTGCAGCACCAGTTGCAGCACTCTTCCTGTTATAAGTAAGAAAGATAAGACAAGCAAGAGAAAAAAGAAATTGAGCAAGTAGTTGACCTCTAGTTATCTCATTCACCGAACAAAACACAAACAAGTACTACACTTATGATTGATACATAATGAGAATGTGGCAGTGGTGAAGGGTGAAATTTTAGCAGAGGTAAGCCGTTCCAAAAATATACGATTTTTATATATGTATAATGCAGAAAAAAATAAAGCTATTATTTCCAAAAGAACATTTATACATTTAAAAAATTAAATGTATGTAAAATTATAGCAAAGTAATTTTAAGGTAAGATGTCTTGTATAGACCCTTCGCCACTGGAATGTGAAGTATACCACCTATTATAAATTCCACACATATACCGTCACATACGCACACACTTACCAGTATTAGTATTATTAGTACCCGTTACTAGGATCCATCATCCAGCAAATCTAAAAAAGAAAGAGATATATACTCTGATAACGGCAGATACCGGTGTAGATGTGGGTCGTTGGGCCTTCTGCCGGTACATGGGGCTGTTCTCTTCTACCAGCCCGTCGGTGCTCTTGAGCAAGCCCGACACGAGAGCCGCCTCGCGGTGGAAGTCCGGGTGCTTGGTGTTGATGTATGCCAGCTCTATTGCTACTAGGTTTTCTACCTGGAATATAAAGTTTTTGGTTTTATTATCAAATTGTTTTTCTTTCCCATGTTTGAGTTTGTTTCTTTTTAGTCTTTCCTTTTTGTTATTAATTATATCAGAAGTATGCTATTTTTGTTATTAATTATAATAATTTCGTAGATATTGTATAAGGCTGTGGTATAAATGATATAGTGCACATTATGACACCTTCGAATGTTAAACATTTTTCTATTTTTGGTCTAACACCTGCAAGTAAATTACTAAGAAATTAATTAAAATTCGAAGAAATCTATTGTTAACTGACACGCCGGCGTGTACGCGATCGTGGAGGGATTAAGTTTTTAAATAAAATATATAATGTATTAACAACTGTGTATTTTGGTCCATGCTTCAAACTTAAACTTTAACTTAGACAAAAAGTATACCATACACTATATACCATAAAGATAAGTACAATAGATAGATAAGATAGATAGCACCCTCGCTTTGCTCGGGTTCGTCCCTAGGTACGTTTTAATAGTTAGTATGAAATATAAATCTTTGAATTTCTCTGCTATTCTGTACTATAACTTTCCTCTTAAATCACTCTATCTATTAAAAAAAACCGCATCAAAATACGTTGAGTAATTTTAAAGATCTAAGCATACATAAGGACAGACAGATAGCGGGAAGCGAGTTTGTTTTATAATATGTTGTGATGTTACCATCGAGTTAGTAGCGGGCAGGCGCGTGCGCAGCAGCTGCGTGACCACGTCCACGATGCGCTGGTGCAGGCGCGGGAAGCGCTGCATCTCCTGCTGCACCTCCGTGCCGCAGTGCTGCACGATGCGCTGCATCTCCTCGTGCACCTGCAAATCAATTATAGTATGTATTCAGCCCTTTTTAACGTCCCATTGCTGGGCACGGGCCTCCCTTCAATACGAGGCCATAGTTCACTACGCTGGCCAAGTGCGGATTGGCGAACTGCACATATCTTTCGAAAATTTGCTAGGTTCTCTTAGACATGCAGGTTCCTATTTATTAACATTTTAAATAATTTTCATCCGCAGCCTGATTCACGTGATACGTCAATAAATTAGCCAATGTTAGATGATTATCGTAACTTTTTATTGGAGGAAGTTTTAGAATCGGCTCATTTTTTCTTTACATAATCATACTAATAATGCAAAATTCCTCACCAGTTCAACGCAGCGTTGCGAAGGATCTTCCAGTCTTCTTATTTGTCTCTTCACCAGCAACTCGAAGGAAACCTCAGGGACGAAGAGAGCGGGTCGCGGTCCAGTCGCGTTCCGGATGGCGGTTAATATATCCATGCGCGTTAAACCTAGAATGAATACCATTAATTTTAAATTAAGTTTTGAGAAAGTAAGGAAAGAAAATACCCCTCATACATATACATACAGTCAAAACAATTAAAACAAAGGTGTGTTACCTAATCAATAGTTACTGTTTTCTATACAAATAAAAACAAGCGACTCACCCTCGCTCCGCTCAGGTTCCCAGACATATAGACAGACAGACAGAAATTCTTAAAACTATATAGTCGGCCTCTATATCGCGCCTTGGCAGTAAAACCGACCTGTGTTATTACGGTAAACGGTGGCGTGACGGATATAATATCATACGATCATGCCTGTTCTACTCTACCGCTTTTGACACCCTTGTGTGTGCGCGCACGTATACTATACACTTTGTTGCTTCTCTGTGTGAGCTGCTTTTATATTTTTTTATTTTACTTCATATTTCATTGTAGGTTTTAACATAGATGTTTCACATCTTCCGGGCGACCCGTGACGACCATTTTTTTTAAATATATGGAATTTTTTTTAAATATATTTTGAAGTCATTGTTTATAGGATAAAATTATGTTTTACAATGGGGTCTCATCACGAACAAAGAAAAATGAGTTCAAATAAATGTCAATAGATGACGTTACATGTCTCGATTTGTTATTAAAGTTGTATTAAATCAACAAAAGATAAAAAAATTGATCCCAAAAAGTTGTATTATTGTTTTAAAAATTATTGTAAGTGCAGAGAAACGAAATAATGCTCTCGTAAATCAAATTAGCGTAATTTTACTGATTATAATTGAAATATCAGCAATCAAATGATTGGTTTGTAGTGTACATTCACAGATGGCGCTTTTACTTTTTTTGAATTGTTTATCACGGTTAAAAATTGTTCAAATCGACAAACGACATCTATTCAAGCAAACAAAAATAGTCCGAATTAGCGCTATCCAATTTCTTTGTATGAAATGAGGCATCTGTACTAGTATAGTATTATGTGGTCTGTGGTTTTACTTTCATCAATTTGTGTTCTATTCTTATGTATATCAATTGAAAAAAAGAAAAATAGCCAAAAAATTGTCTATAAATATTTTATTTAAATTGCGGTAAATTGATTTTTTTTTTATGTGTGTTATCATTTCATATCTCGACATAAATACGACTATATGTCGTAGACAAGCTTCAATGTAATAATAGCATTCGGCATGTTTTTATGGTTATATACATAAATACTTCTTAGGGTATTTATTAATCGTATTAGTAAAACAAAAGTAGTTACATGGCCAGTACGACATAACGATAACCAGTAATTATATAACGCTAGTGTAAAATATTAATATCATGTAACTTGATCACATTGTAACGGTTCATCCTCTTGTGTTGTGTTCTCCTTTGTGTCTTCTCCATTCTATGTGACATTAGTGAAGTAATCTGTGCTCAACTGGCACACTTTGAAGCCATTAACAATAAAATTAAATTGAATTACTTATGAGTTATGACATTCAAATATTTCTTACATATAACATACAGTTCAATTAACAAAAATTGCATTATACTCACCAACCAACGGATGTATAGAGTCCAAAGTACGTCCAAAAGTCTCATGGAATATGTAACATATTCTAGCACCGCCACATAGCTCCGTTGTTTCAATATTCCTCGCGGTGCCCTCTATAGTAGAACAATATGCGCTCGCAAACTTTGTGATGATTTGCAGGAGAGTCTGCGACTTATCCGAGACATCTTCACCGTACGAGTTGAGTAACGATTGGAATTGTGATATCATTACATTAACTCGAACCTAAAATTATAATGAAATTAGAATAAAACGGTAGTTAGAGCTTAAGGCTTTTTGTTTCTAATTACATACATATATTGAGAAATATAAAAATTAAAGTTCTTTGTTGAATTACATTTTTCGGAAATTAACTCATTACTTGACGACACATTTGGCTCAGTTTGTAGTGACCCTACTTGCTGTGCCAACGGTCGCGGTTTCGAGTCCTGCTGGGGGCATTCATTTGTGTGATGAGCACGAATGTTTGTATTCCAGTCCTGGGTGTGTATACAACTATCTGCTATTCATAACACAGTTCTCGTAGCCTACCATGGGAACTAAATGGTGCTGTATGTCAATGTCCCAACATATTTATTTATTATCTGCCAAACACAAGCAATTCAAGAGAAATATACCTGTCTTGGGAAGAACTGCCAAAAGAAAGTCAGCATAATTAAAGATTGATTTCTTGTAAAAAATGATATGGGAATAATAAGTTTTAATTCTTTTTTTAGGTTTGTTTATTTGATTAAACCTGTTAGTGAACGAAAGTGAAAACTAAAAGCCATCCCATGGTATTTGTACTATAAGATCTCATAAAAGGCAAGGTTCTTTGTCTTACATATATGGTCAAAAATATTTGGATGAAGATTCCAACAGCTGATTAATCTATACTTTTTCTAAACAATATACATCTTAAGTAGGTTAAATTATAAAACTATGCTACATCTTAACTATCTTAGTATTGTGTAACACGTCTTTGTTATAAAAATCACACGCCAGCGGAAATGAATGCAATAACCGACATAATATGTAGTTACACTATGTATGAGAACCTGTCAAGGTTATCTGTTTACTGGAGCGCGGAAATGTAAATGCTAATGCATGTTATTGAAAAAAAAACTGATGTATATTATGAAATTTTATCGTTTAGGTTCCAGTAATTGTGTGCTTTGATTTGTTGAATTGCTGTTTTTAAATGACGCATGGTTCTTATGAAAATGTTTATTGTATACATAACAGTTACAATATTACAAACACACAGTTATACGGCTATAGATGCAGCTTTATTTTAATCTGTGAAGTCAGACAATACAGCTTTATCTTTAAGTTCTACGATGAGAATTAGCAGACCATATTAGAAATCGTACGAATTCGTCAAGCGTATAAAGCCACTGACCGTAGCGAGGTGTAAATATAGACGGAGTATATGGAATGAGTCTATAACCTTTTCTCTACACAGTGAAATAATTATAATCTTACTAATATTATAAATGTGAAAGTTCAGATGTTTCTTACTGGCTCTGGCTGAACAGATCTGGATGAAATTTGGCATAGATAATGATTAGTCTGAAATATAGCACATAGGCTACTTTCTATCCCGGAAAAATGTACAGTTCCCGTGGGATAGATTAGCTTCTGTTTTTTTCTTGTGATAATAATATAACGATTTTTTTAAAGTTGACGACACTCCTAAATTAATTAATTTAGATGATAGAACTGTCGCTGTGAGGAATAAGATTTTTTTTTCTTAATTCGGCAAGATATATGTATAAAGATGACAAAAAATATATTATTCTTTATGAGCGTTTTAAACAAATGAAATATTTATCGTAATATACCAAGGGGTGGAAATATTTATTATTTTAAACTTTTTTCTATTTGAAATAGAATCACGAGAATCTGCTCAAATTTAGCGAAGATATCGCTTAACATACAAAAAAACATACCCAAATTGAGCACTCCGCCTTTTTTGAAGTGGGTCAAAAAATACAGTTACCATATACATATTTATAACATAATCTACATAATCATTGTTTACTGCAATCATTATGTAGATTAGTTCAAAGTCAACGACTGGCCATATATACCTTCAGCTCCGGTAAACAATCCCGTATATGGTGCATCAGAAGCCTGTTTAGTGTTTTCGCCAAGTACGGAGTTCCGTTGCGACTCGCTATTGTAGGGTACTTCCTTTGCAAGTACGTGGCTTCGTCTTTCAATGAATCCTAGAATTGGAATGTTTATTATTAAAATACTAATTGCCTCGGTGGTCTAGTGGCTAGCATGTATGGTCGCAGATCCGGAGGTCCTGGGTTTGAGTTCCGGTCTGGCCCGACATAATTTAGAGAGTTTTTTGTTAAGGTTATTTTAGTAACTGCCTGGAGTTGGAAAGCTTGGCGTCGGTCCTGCGACTGTTCTCTCACCGCGGGTGTCGAATTGTCGTCCCACCGGAGTATGAGAGTGACAAGAATAGAGAAAGCACGTTGTCTGCATAATGCGTGATATCATTCGCGCAGTGCACTATAATATCTCCTGCGCAGATGGTTAGTTTCAATGAGATTGGCCGCTGTGGCCGAAATTGGTCAGAAGGAGATCATTATAATACTATAATAAAGCCTTCAGTACTTCTACGTTTTAATGTTGTATTGTAAAACCCTACTTTTGTTTATCTACTTAAATGTAATCAATTCAATCTAATTAAATTGAAGAAATTATCTATTACAAGGTTACAACTCTTATAACAAAATTCATCTTTGTATGAAAGTAATTCGCACACAAGTAATTGATTCGTTTGTGATAGAACTCATTAAGGCTCGATATTGATCTTTGCTTCAATCAACAATGATCAATTTACTTATAAGAACCTTATATTTTTGTATATAAACAGTATAAACATATATAAAAATTGGATAGTTATTATAAGAGTAGATTTACCGTAATGGATTTTTTATCGATGATATCTTGCTGTGATCTGTTTACGACACCTATAATGCCCAACTTGACAGGAATAACCCGCCCACATAAAATGTCGATAGCATCAGTTCCTGATAAAGCAAACCATAAATTATCAACATCACATACAAAAAGTTGAAATTATCTAACATTAAAATGTGCCAGCCATGTAAAGTTAGTAATTAGGTATATTTTTCAAAATATTTATATGGGATGTATTCATTATTTTTATAGGATTCTATGGAGTATGAGACAAAGTTATATACCTCGAGAAAATGTCTACTTCGTTTTAACTAGTGCAGTGTTTTATTTAACAAGACTAGTATTAACCTTTTTTTATAATTTCCACGTCATTGATACCTTTTTAACAACAATAACTCAAGAAATCCACTTCATATACCGATATAATAAAAAGGTACAACTTCAAAATCACTTAAAAGTATTTTTTTTAATTTATTTATACAGGACCAGCCTCATGTTACAAGTTATTAAATAAAACAATTATGAAAATAGATTTACTATTGGCGAAATTATCACATAACATCACACAAAAAGTACATACAATAGTTCTCAGTACCTCTTCCATTTTGAACTCAGTCAAAAAGAAGCCTATGCCATGCTCTGGTTCATTAACTACTAGCTTCTTTGCGAAAAATTACACTGCCTATTGTTCTGTGTGTGCGTGAAGTAAGTGAAATAGCCCAGTGGTGACACGCTCGCTTGGGACACCGAGTGAAGCGGGTTCAAATCCCGGGTCTCGCACCTCCGATATTTTCATGTGCGAATCATTTCTAACATGATTACCGCTTGCCTTACGGTGAAGGAAAACATCGTGAGGAAACCTGCATGTCTGAGAGAACCTAGCAAGTTTTCACAGACATGTGAAGTCCGCCAACCCGCACTTGGCCAGCGTGGCCTATCCTATGCTATGGCCTGATCCCCCCACGTATTGAAGGGAGGCCCGTGCCCAGCAGTAAGACATTAAAAAGGGCTGAATACAATATACTTGCGCACTTTAAATATTAACTATAACAATATTACTCGCGCGGGAATTGAACCCGCATCCTACCACTTAGGGACTAATTTCAAGAAATGTTGAAATATTTATAGTAATAATGATACTTGAAACATCTTAAGAAGAAAATATTTGACCTATATCTTCTGTTGATATACCTATATTCATATTATATAATACTAGAGGCTCACCCTCGCTTCGCTCGGGTTCGTCCATGGGTACGTTTTAATGGTTAGTATAATCTCTCAATCCCACGGGAAAAAACTAGATAGACTATATATTACAAAACTATAATATATTGTCCATCTAGTGTTTTCCCGTGGGATTCAGATAAAGAGTAGCCTATGTACCTTTCCAGTCCTGTAACTATCTCCACACAAAAAAACACGTCAATCCGTTACTCCTTTTTGACGTGTAAGAAGTACAAACAAAAAAACCTATTTTCAAGACTATGGATATTGAGATTTATTATTATATCTATAACTTTTTGAAAAAAAAATCATGGTTCATCATATTTTATATTATGCAAATAATTAATTAATAATAAATAAATAAATAGACATTGTATGAGGAAAAACTGGCAGTTAATTTATAACAAACATTTAAAGCTATTGTTGTGACAAAGTCCATATTTATTTTTTTTCCTTTTAAACTTCTTCAAAAATATCTACAGTCGTCTATTGAAATTAAATGGGTATACATATACATTTTTTATTTAAATACAAGAAACAAGTACTTTTTCAATACATTAGCATTCAGCACATTATAAAAGGGCTTCTACTGGGAGGAAAACGTTGAAAATGGAGTCCTTTGGTCTTCACTATTATTAAATACTAGCGACTCACCCTCGCTTCGCTCGGGTTCATCCCTACTTACGTTTTAACATTTGGTATCGATTTCTCAGAGATATTTTCTCGCAGTAAAAAGTATTCCATATGTTGACCCGGATAACCAGCTATCATCATACTAAATTTCGTCAAAATCCCTACAGTGGTTTTTCTGTGAGGCGGTAACAGACAGACAATAGTTCTAAAATCAATAGATTCGGCCTCTGTATCGATAGTAATGTCTATTTCAATAAGATTTTTCAAAAAATATTTGATGTACAGATTCGGCTTAGTTACAATTTTATTATATGTATAGACTTGGGGTCCTATCAGAATTTAGAATTACCACAAAGTATCACATCAAGTTATGGAAGTTAACTTTACGTAGTAAACATTTGTATTGAAATGAGACATTCCATGGTAATACTACAAAAACTTGTTATATTTACCAGCATCCATGAGATCGAGTTTGGTGACCACAGCTAAAGTTCTTCTCCCATCAGGATCAACATCTTTGGCCATTTTTATAGCTTCACTAGTTGCCATATCTGTGTTAGCAGCTGTTACTGCCAAGATTATGGAATTTGGATTGGCAATATACTTAATAATAAGATTCCTAATTTGATTTTCTATGTCCTCTGGTTGATCACCTATAGGTACCTATACAAAATAAGAAATTATAAGTTATTTGCTATTGCATATACATATATTATTGACTAAATATATTCCATATTTAGAACAACTACTTAGGTGAATATTTAAAAATTCACAAACAAGAAAAAATATTTCAAATATACTTAGAACAAAGATCTAACCTTGGTTATTCCAGGCAAATCTACAAGTGTCAAATTGACAACTCTGGTGGAGTAAATCTTCAAATTGATAGCTTCTGGGCATATTCCTTTGTTGTTGCCAGCCTTGCGATCTGTTTCTTGTTCTATTTCTCGTCGTATTTCGTCGAAATCCGAAAATATTTTGTCTTTTGTGTGCAGAAACTTGCCCCATTCCTCTAAGTTTACTGTTCCTATAATAAAAAAAAATATTATTCTAAAAGTTAAAATATACATAAACATACATGAAGTCCTGAAGATTTACTATATCCAAATGAATATAATAGCTTACACATTAAGTTGCAAAAATAATGTTATTTTTCTTAAATCAAAGTTCTAGTAATTTCTCACTACTAATTATAGTACTAAAGATTAAAGAGGCAAATTAAATTACCTACAATGTAATGGACAAGTTATTTTATACATGTCCACTTAAATACATACAAACCTTTAGAAAATACTGTTTGTGACAGTTGAGCTATTGGATTCCATGACTCATTTCCAGCAATCTGGTTTCTATATACTGAATTAATTATATTAATATCAAATACATATATTTGATTATTTAATATAAAATCAAATAATAAACAATGTATATAATAAAAAAGAATTTTATTCCTCATTATAAGAAATATAATAATAAATAAAAGATATAGAATATTAATGTGGCTAAGTATTGCAAGTCTACATTGAATTTGTTTTGAAAGTTATAAGTAATTACTATTTAGTATTTATACAATGACCATACATATTAATACAATATAAATATAATACAAAGGGTTACTAACCTATTATCTTATGTATACATAATAAAATACTAGTGCTGACTGATATCAAATATTACAAATTAGCATTATTATTTATATTAAAGAAAAATAGCATTATTTCCGTATAACATTAACCAATTATTAATTCAAGTATGATATTGAATATTGTAGCATTACAAAGAAAATATAACAGACATATTATGCATTTGATATTTCTATAAAAAAATGTAAACATTGTTTTAATAATTACTGTGTGAATCATTCTTTACAACAAAGGAACATTTAAAACTCTTTTAAGATGAAAAAAAATTAAAATAAAAATATTTTCAGATAAACAGCAAAAATAAATGACTGACATAAACTAATATTAGATGAATTGTAACAAAGTGATTTTTTTATTACCTAAGTCTTAATTTCTAAAATTAAGAATTAAGACTTAGGTACACTGAAAAATGTTATACTCATTACATAAACAATGTTTGTTGTTGTAAATATATAATTCTATAATTCATAATTAGATCAAAAAGCTTTATTGATAACATCTTGAAAATATAAGTGTTTGAAGTCTTTTGCGTAAATCATAATTAGCTGTAATTTTCGCGTATGAAAATTTTAGTATACCTTCTTCTGCAGAGCGATGGTCCTTGCTATCTTTAGGACTGTACACCAGTTGGAGGATGAGTGGTCGACGAGTGACAATACCAGGTCCACGAGGTAAAAAAGAACGTCCAACAAGGCTCTCTATAACAGAGCTCTTACCGGAACTCTGCAATTATTGATTCATGAATAACAGAATTGCTAATTAATAATGAAATGCACAAAGAATTAATAAATCTTTTAATTTTTTGAATGACTATATATATCTATATATTTTACTTAGTTATTAGGCTATGCGGATATTATGCGAAAAATCTAATTAGAAAAATTTGTAAGTCATTGACAGTGAAGTCCATTATAAGGGAATGGGGACAAAGCACTTTAGTGACATCTTTACATAACAATTGTCATTAAAATGATGGAGAAATAATATACACGTGCTGAATCGTTTTTACTAATGAAGTCTTAAGATAACGAAAAAATGTATAACCTGAGTTCCCAATACAATTATTTGAGGTAATTGGATGGCATCAGCTCCGACGGTGTTGAAAACGTCTTGTAGTTTATTAATAACTGGTATAAGTGCTTCCATAATTACTAATATAATTAATTATGTTAGAAAATTATCTCAGAATACAAGCACAACTATACAGTTAATAAAGTGATTATTTCATTCAAGTTATTAATTATCAAAACACATAAACTGACCGGTAAAAGTCGGCCATATTGATTCTCCGAGAGGTAGATACAGTGCTGCCAACACTAGAAATTTTTACCCCTAAGAGTAATTATTTCAAAGACCCGTAAAATCCCCTTACTGACAATTTAAAATAGTAGGTATTTATTTAATACTAAATTTTTTTTTATAAATAGCATAAAAACTTATTTATGATTATAATTATAAAAGTTACATATTACCACTTAATAATATTAATAATAAATTTCATAGATAACTTAAAAAAAATAAAAAAAGGATAAATGATGCAAATGATAAAACCTCTACATATTTACCGTCCCTCCCCTCCCTCCAGAAACCCCGGTGCAATTTTCTTACCCCTAAATTTGGAGGGAAAACCCCTAAGCTGGCTACACTGGGTAGATGCTAGGTAGTGAAGCTATTTGATATCGATAATATATTTTTTGTTTTATGTATTTACGAAATAGTATAAGCAATAGTAGTAGGCAGTGGTGGCCCAGTAATAACGCGCTCGCTTGAAACCGAGTGAAGTGGGTTCAATTCCCGGGTCTCGCACCTCTGATATTTTACATGTGCGAATCATTTCTAACATGATTACCACTTGCCTTACGGTAAAGGAAAGACATCGTGAGGAAACCTGCATGTCTGAGAGAACCTAGCAAGTTTTCGAAAGACATGTGAAGTCCGCCAACCCGCACTTGCGTGGTGGACTATGGCCAGATCCCCCTCTTCTTGAAGGGAGGCCCGTGCTCAGCGGTGGGACGTTAAAAATAGCTGCATACATTTACGAAATACCTCTTAATCTTCGTCTCGATCTCAGGTCGATTTTTTTTCAAACCGATAATAATGAATAAAATATTTTGATTTTCTTACTAAGGTTTCTGATTTTAAAATATTTTCCTGAATATATAATAGTTTACCAATTACCACACATTATGAATTGTCAGTATGTTATATTGCTAATATTTTTTATTAAATAAAAAATATCATGACATCGAAACTGGCAAGAAACGCGCAGATTGGCTAAATTTGGAGGAGGCCTATGTCAAAGATAACGTCACATTATCGCTACGAATATCAATAACTAGCGACTTACCCTCGCTTCGCTCGTGTTCGTCCGTACTAACGTTTTAACGTTTAGTATCGATTTCTTGGAGATAAGATATTTTCTCGCTGTAAAAAGAATCCTATATGTTACATACATGTTTTACAATATGTTTTATATTGAACCAATATGTTAACCAGCATCATACCAAATTTCATCAAAATCCCTCCAGTGGATTTTCCGTGATGCGGTAACAGACAGACAGACAGACAAAAATTCTAAGCCTCTGTATCGATAGTAATGTTTATTTCATGATTCATGATTTTCCAAAAAATATTTAATGTACAGATATGACTTAGTTACAATTTTATTATATGTATAGATTAATTTATTTATATTATTTTTATAACTTATTTTGGTATAATTAATTATTAGAAACATGTTACATTAATTAGCTTAACTCATATAAATTACAATACTGTTCTTATTTGTCAATGAATAAACGCCTATTTTTATTATAAAGTTAGTAATTATCGATATTTATTATTTTTACACTTAACTATCGATGCTATAAATGTTGCCAAGAAGAATGTTTTCAATGAATAAAATTCTAAATCAAAATAAATTTAGAACTTAGTGTACCTGCTGATAAGACTTTAAAAACATAATAAAATGTAATCATATAGTGATTTAAAAAATATCTCTTCTGTGATCTGTCTCTAAATATCTTACAACATAGTGGCTGTGTATGGTTTTTATTATTTAACTATGGAATGGATTTATCTTATTACGTATATGATCTGTCGGAGTCGGACTGTCGATTGTCAATCATTATAATTTATAAACGTCAAGAATCGAAATTTGTTAATGTTATTTCTGTTCATCTATATGTTCCCCATTTCTACGTTTTAAAGCTATTTTGGTCAAATTCAATCAATCAAAATCTAGTTAATATTAATTAAAAGCAGCACCTGAAATAAACCCACTTAATAAAACATATTTTACGAGAGTAAAAAAATGTTTGCAGCTGAGGTAATGAATTTACTCTAGCTTCATTGTGTACGTATTTATTTCTATTTTGTATAGAACGTTCGTAATATTTGTGTTATTTTAAAGGAAAACCGTATTGACTGTGGGCGATACACAACAAATTCTAAACATATAGAATTCGGCCCATGGCATATTTCGTACGATGTAAGTTGCATTCTGCCTAGCGTGTGTTCGACTAAACTTGTTTGTGAGAGGGATGATGACCAATTCTGTCAGTTTTGTATGTAAGTAAATTACAAAAGTCAAGTATTCTATATAATGAGATTTAAACCTTGGATGAACTTAGTCATAAAGCTTAAAAGGTTTCCAAGCTAGGTTTTACTTTTATCCATTTTCTTATTACTTTTATAGATACTGTAAGGAACTAAGAATTCCCCACTTTCCAGACATGGTCTTTCCTAAGAATACTTTGATCTTAGCTCACAAAAGTGGTGCTAAAATATTTTTCAACCCATTGGATGCATTGCGTGGAGTATCCTGTAACATGGATGCCATTGAGGTAGCTTGTGCTGAAGCCTGGCAAGAGTCACGGTGAGTAGATTTAACAAACTGTTATTGAAATTCATATGGTATATGTATGATTTTTTAAACATTAGTCCGGTGATTTTGATTAATGAATATTGAATTGATAATATATACCATATTTTTGTATACAGATTTATTTCTATAATGATATAAAATGAAATAATTTTCAAGTTTTTCTGTAAAGGCCAGATGCAGAAAAACCAAAGAGGACATTTGACTGGACTTTTTCTACAGACTACAAAGGAACTTTATCAAGTGATATATTAGTGGAGCCAACTGATGAAACTATAAATTTTGATTTGCTTAAGCGCAAAGAACAAATTCTTTTTTATCATGACCTAACCCTATTTGAAGATGAATTACATGATCATGGTATATCTAAGCTGTCTGTTAAAATTGTAAGTTATCAAAATTATATATAATCATTTTGTAATAACATAAGAGGAATTTTGTCAAGACAAATTGGGATATGTTATATTTAAATTCTTCACTATTCCAATTTTCATATGGATAAAAAGTATATTATGATAATGAAGGTGGCAAGTATCAATATAAAATAACTGTAAGTTTGGTGGCTTTTGTTTTCATGTGTAAGAAAAAATAAGACAACACCCAGAAAAATGAAGGGTTTTCTTATTAAGTTATGAAACATTGAAGTGAAGTATCGCAAATATTAGGTTTTCATGACTTATTTATGCTGGCTATTTTATGCACTATATTTCACTCGTTACTGCCTGCAGTTCAACTTGCATAGTAAGAAGGAAAGGACATAATGGGGTAGTCTGTGTTCACCCCATACAGTATATGTATGTGCAAAATTTCATATCTATATCTATTTAGCAGTTTAAGCATGAAAGGTAATAAACAGACAGACAAGGTTACTTTTACATTTATTATATTAGAATGCAAGAGCAGTAATAACAAATAATAATTGTGGAAAGACATTTTTTCTCTTCTCGAGTAAGTTGTCTTTTTGTAGTTATTGACACTAGGAACTATTTAACACCAGTACTAATATACTCTATCAAACCTTTTACCAGTAGAGTATCAATAAAGTTTATTTGTAGTCTTATTATTTTGTGAAGTTTTTTCATTTAAAAACAAATAGAGTTTATATAATAATTTACCCCTTAAAAATGATTTGCTGTCAAAAATACTCAATAAATTAATATCAGTAAGCGCAAGTGGCATCCTTTAAAATCATTATCAAGAATTGAATTCATATTTTTTACTGCCATGTACATACTAAAATATTTTTATTATAATATTTTAGAGAGTGATGCCTTCTTATTGGTTTGTACTAATGAGGCATTTCCTGAGAATCGATGATGTATTGGTGAGGGCTCATGAAACTAGAATGTTCCATTTGCTTAACACAGATTATGTTATAAGGGAATTTAGCACAAAGGAGGCTAAAGCAAGAGATTTGAACGTAAGTAAAGATTATATTTGCTATATACTAGAAGAGGCTCACATTCGCTTTGCTCGGGTTCATCCCTAGGTATGTTTTAACGGTTAGTATGGAATAGATAGACTGTATATTATATTACTAACTTCCTTGGGTAGTAGCATGATTATATATAGCCTTCCTCAATAAATAGGCTATCAAATACAAAAAAGAATTTTTCAAATCAGATTAGTAGTTCCTAAGATAAGTGTGTTCAAACAAACAAACAAACAAACAAACTCTGCCTCTTTATGATATTAGTATATATTTTACATTATACTTCTTCCTGATGACTTCCTGACCACGTTATTAATACTTCAGTATTTTTGATATTAGTATAACATTATGGTATTTGTGCTTACAAACACAAAAAAATAACAAACATATCAATTAAATGTTTTTCTGACAATGTTTTTCTTTTTTGCGAGTCAGGGACATCATCTTTTACAAGTAAACTGGAACATTTGCTTCTAAAATATTGCAAAAAACTTGTGAAGTATTTCAGTTTCCTTTCATAGTGGAGTTAAATTTTTTCTTTCATACTCATCGTAGGATGGGGGCCCAAACCATATAATGAAATTTGTTCATAATAATAATATGGGGTTTAATATATTACAGATTCCTACATACTTAATGAAAGAAGCTGACGATGTGTTACCAATTCTTCCTGTAAAAGAAAAAATACTTCATAAATTAATCATAAATTCCAAAAATAATTGATAAAATGTATTGTGATCTCAAATATCAATAAGCAATCTTTATAAATATAAGTTTCTATTTAAATAGTGTTTTTTAATTCCATAACCTTTTCGTTATATATTACTAGCAGAATCCGCGGCTACGCCCGTGTTAAATCTACAAAAAAAACTCTGGCTTTATGTTATGCAGTGACTCACCCTCGTTTCGCTTGGGTTCATCGCTAATAATTAATAATTATTATTTTTAAACCTAATTATTAAAGTTGCATATATTTTTGTGATCGCCTCTTAAAAATCTTTATTTTGATACCCCACTCGATTGATTTGGAAGTTGTTTTTACAGATAAATTGGCTTCTGCAATCCGCCATTTTAATTTTTAACTATTTTTATATAGCATAAGACACTCGCGTTATCAAGACGAATCTAATGACGTATGAATCATCACAATTGGCTCACGCGTTTGGTCTCTAGAACCCCATATATATACAGACATACATAGATACATAGACTGATAAAAATACACAGAGGGTTGAATAAATAATTTTGTACTAATATAGATAGATACCCATGACTAAGTAGGGAATTATTATAATTCTTCAGGGACTTATGCTCGCCTCGCTCGGGTGAAGGCTAGGTTACTAACAATTTGTCTACACTAAATTTTATCTAATTCCGTTATGCTGCTTTAGCGTAATGGTAGAAATAACAAACATACATAAATACAAACAATTTCGCAATTATATTAGTAGTCTGATTTCTTAGGTATGAAAAAGATAATCTATCCTTAATTTTTATTTTTTAAAAGTTTTCATCATAGGTATAGTTTTTTTGGGATAGTTAGATAAAGAAAAATTATACAAATAAAAATAATTGCCGTAAAAATTATGTTAGGCGTGTTAAAAGCAAGTTTTTAGAAGAGTGAGACATGTTGACCTTATAACCCTTATTCATAAAGAAGATATGATTAGCCGAATATAAGAGACATATCATCTTAGTCCTCACAGTGACAACGCACCTGCGGTTCTGCATTTTTGTAACATAAAACGTAAGTACATGAACCGTAGGTGTTATGGGCGACAGGTACTGCTCGTTTGTCACTGAATACCATAAAAAAATTAATAGATTTTGAGTTATTACGAGGTGAAAAGTGACTTCAAATGGTTCGTGTAAATATACACACGGTGCTGCGGTGCCAGTTCCTTTGGCTTGAACTTGGCTGGACACGCTACCGCGTGTCTTGATATCGTCTCTGAGACATCTAAAACCTTGTCTCTCCCGTGACTATGATTACTGTAAAGCATTCGAAACGTCAGGATCCAAAAATCAAAATAAATCCACGAAATATTCCGAAAAGATAGTTTTATTTAAAATGTCAAATATTCGAATAAATCTAAGTATTAATTTATATGCATTCTTTCTTATCCGTAAGTTCTATGTTATCCGTAAAATTCCCATATATGTATGTATGATGTATATACTATGCACATACATAAATACATATATGGGAATGTTAGGCATAGTATGTATTTTTCTTGTCATCATATGTATAAAGTATGATAGCAAAAATGCTATTCTCATAACGTTACATTCTGGATTCTTAATACAGAACAAGATTTCCTCAGGATCTTATACAACAGGATCTCATAACCTGACGTAATGGCTGGAAGCTATTTATTGGATTATAGGAGGCATGACTCCTTGCACATTATCGGAGTGGTCTTTTGCGAATCCATAATCAGATCAGCTCGATGGCTTCAATTTATTGTATTGTACTGATTTTACAGGTCAATGCAGAAAAAGCGTTTTATGTTAGCAACTTGAAAATATATCGTGAGGTGGTGATTTATTTGACTTTAAAATTTAAATATATTTTTTTATCAATTTATATTTTGCTACTAGCTACTTATTTACTCTGGCTTCGCTTGGGTGCGTTCCTAGTTATGTACGTTTTATTTTTTTTGAGCGCATTATTTTCTGAAATAAAAGTAGCTTAAGACAGATATACAAAAATGTAAATGTGTTTTTTCTAATAAGTACCGTATATAATTTCATACGCATTTAGTAAAAATCTGTTATTTTAAAATTACAAATATATACTTAAATTTTATTTATCTGTAGGTGTAGATAAAGCCCATTCAAAGTGCATTATAAGTCAGAAATCAATCATGATAGATAAAAAGAGGATTGCCATACTAGCTACTTCTTTTATATACCTACTAGCGGCTCACCCTCGCTTCGCTCGGGTTCGCCTCTAGATAAGCACAATCAGATCTATTCCACGGGACCGTTCATTTTTCCGGGATAAAAAGTAACCTGTTATTTGACCATCAATATAACGTATCAGCATGCCAAATGTTACTCAATTAGGTGCATAAGTTGTTGTGTACTAAGCAGTATAAGTTACTATAGTTTTTTAACTATCCCACGGGAACTCTTTCATTTTCCAGGATGCAAAGTATCTAAGATGTTGACCTTGGTTATAAAAGGTACTACCATGCAAAATTTCATTTAAATCCGTCCAACAGTTTCGGGGATTAGCCCGTTCAAACAAACAAACAGACAGAGAAACAAAAAAATTGAAAAACTCTGGATTTGTTCTATTTCTCTTCTTACATCCTCCTGACTCGATAAAACCAGTTATTGTATTTTTCCGTGGGAAAGAAAGTTTTTCTTAAAGTAAAAGGAATCCAAATGTTGAATCGAGTAATAAGTTATCACTTCACCAAATTTAGTTGAAATCAGTTTCATTACCTTTTTCGTGAAACGCGCACACAAAAACAGACAAACAGACATACAGGCAAACAGACAAATTTTTTAATGCATATTGTTTTGCGGTCTATGTTGTGTACATAATACGTTACAAACAAACAAAAACAAATCTATCCCACGGGAACCGTACATTTTTCCAGGATAAAAAGTAACCTATTTGTTATTCTAATGTATGAACTATATTATTGTAAAGTTTCATTAAAATCCAACCAGTAGTTTTTGTGTACTAATCTGTATAACTTTTATAGTTTTTTAACTATCCCACGGAAACTCTTTAATTTTCTGGGATGAAAAGTATCTAAGATGTTAACCGGGAATATAAGGTACCACCATGCAAAATTTCATTAAAATCGGCCCAATAGATTCGGAGATTAGCTCGTACAAACAGACAAACAGACAGAGAAACAAAAAAATTGAAAAAATCTGGATTTGTTCTATTTCTCTTCTTATATCCCCCTGACTCGGTTTTTAGCATTTTTTTTCTATGTACAGACATTCGACCTCTACAGTTTTATTATAGTATAGATTTATTTAGTAGTCAACCAAGGCGACCGAGTGCATTCTGTAGAACAATGCATGTGAATCGGCGCTATTTTACAAAAATGATACCTATATCTATCAATTATGATCATCATACAGAAAATTTTGTAGTCATATTTTTACTATATCGATTACTTACTTTTAACATTTCGAAAAATCAACCACAAATCTTAAAGTTAGTCAGATAACTTAAAATACATTGTTAGCTCTTCCTAAACAACACTTTTAAGTCAGGCCATAAGCCGTTGTATGTATTCAGGCCTTCTTAACGTCCCACTGCTGGGTCTCCCTTCAATACGAGGGGAATCAGGCCATACTTAGTCCACCACGCTGGTCAAGTGCTAGTTGGCGGATTTCACCATGTCTTTCGAAAACTTGCTAGGTTCTACGCACGATGTTTTCCTTCACCCTAAGGCAAATGGTAATCATGTTAGAAATGATTCGCATGAACCCGCTTCACTCGGTTTCTCAAGCGATAGCGTTACCACTGTCTTTACATAAGCCAGTACCTATACATAAGCCATAGATACAAAATAATATGAACACGTATATGTATTGTCAGGTGTTCTGAGTCAGATTGACAAAAAATTAAAACTACTTATGCAACATTAAAAAATATCCTTATACAGACAAACACTCGGTTCTGTTAATTATATATTGTATATAGATAACAGTATTAAAATATATACCTAGGTCTTAATTACGTTTCCTAATTTAGTATAGTAATAATAAAGATTTAAGACGTATGTATGTATATAAAAATGTATTTAATATATTTTTTAATTTATCTTATTTTTGGTAAGTGTTTTTGTCAACGTGTAATAGATAATAGCAGTTTGCGTATTCATTCATACTTCTGTATTCTATGACTTGTGTATGTGTTTTGTTCATGGCAGGATTTATTGGAAACGTGAAGTGTTCCGTATTCGATGTGAATTTTGAGAATGCACTTATAGCGCAACAAGGTCTTGGATGGCCGGCTTCTATACATATTGCAAAGGGAAATGAAGCTTTAATGAAACTTAGTAAGGCATTGGAAAATTACGATTCATGTACGGTTGTACCCCCATCAGGAATCAAGTTTGACGTTAGTTCTCCACCAAGTAGTAGGTAAATTTGGAATTTTTTTAAGCTTTTGATACTAATTTTATAAGGAAGGCTTTTTTTTTCTATTCATTAATAAAATGATTTACATATATTTTCTTTGATGATAAAGTTCAATAACTAAGTATAAGAGGACAAACTTATTTACTCTTAAGTGTATGATAGTCGTTAACGCTGCTATCTCTGCTATTTATTAGGATAATATTTTTTCTTTTTTTAATTAATCCGTAACGTCTAATCGGTACGTGGAATTAATTTATGATCGATCTAATTATATTATATTAATAATTAAAGATATGACATAATTGTCCAAATTTTAGGTATGATAAATGGGGTGACTTTTGTGGGATAAGAGTGCGAAACGTTACATCTCAAGATGTGGGAAGATGGCGACTTACTTCGATTAAGGACAGTCAGTCTCGTACAGGATGGGTTGAAGTTTATGTGCTAGGTATTTGAACGCAGATAATATATATTGTATGATAAGAAAATTTATATTTTTTTAAATATTATTTATTTGGTTCTAAAATAGATATAACTAGGTTTTCTCTCACATTTTTAGTAGTACTTGCTACCTTAAATTTATTTATCTTTTTAAATTGATGATTTACTAGTAGATATATATTATTTTAAATGATTTTTTTAGTGGTAAATATTAAAAAAAAAACAGTTTTAGAATTTAAGAAATATAATATGCTTTTTAGAAGATAAATCTTCGTATACCCCACCGCCGCTCTCGCTATTAGACGGTGAAACACAGACGACTGTAGACTTATCGTCCACCGAAAATACATATTGTGTAGTAGCGAAGCCGTTTTCCGAAAGCTCCTTAGTTCCCGGCCATTGTAGTGTCACTCTAGACAGGACTACCAGAGCAGTACAAGGAAATTGGCAAATAAACTTGGGCTTGCCTGGACGTGTAGCAGAACTTCAAACTAATCTCCACGTTACTGTGGAAAGTATGTTGTTTTGATTTATAAAATGTACCATGTAACATGTATGTAATAGCGTAAGATGAAAAAAATATTAAAAATTGTATGTAATATATTGATTAAACGTATTTATATAATAATTATCATTATAAATAATATTTATTAGGTGTAGTGCAAATTATGTATAATAAAGTTTAACATTTTAGCGGAACGCCTTGATGTTGGATATATTCATGACGCGACTAATAAATTGCATCTATACTGCAATATTTTGCACACAACTAAAAATATTACTTTCTGTCGTTTTCAAAGGACATCGTCATCTTATGGGTTCAATGTCATTGATGGATTGAGTGATGGTACACATAGGTATTTATTTATGTTATGATGATTAATTATTTAAAATATCGATAAAGCGGAATTAGGATTTGCGATATGATATCACTACACAATATCTATAGGTACATGTAATAAAACTGTAGAGGTCGAATGTCTGTAGATAGAAAAAAAAATGCTAAAAACCGAGTCAGTTCTCTTCAAATCAAATAGAACAAATCCAGATTTTTTTCAATTTTTTTGTTTCTCTGGCTGTTTGTCTGTTTGTACGGGCTAATCTCCGAATCTATTGGACCGATTTAAATGAAATTTTGCATGGTGGTACCTTATGTCCCCGGTCAAAATCTTACATACTTTATATCCCGGAAAATTATTAGTTCCCGTGGGATAGTTAAAAAACTACAGTAACTTATACAGCTTAGTACACAAAAAACTACTCGTTGGATTTTAATGAAACCTTACAATAATATAGTTTATACATCAGAATAACAAATAGGCTACTTTTTATCCCGAAAAAAATGTATGGTTCCCGTGGGATAGATTTGCTTTTGTTTGTCTTGTAACGTAACGTTCGAGTAATTAGCAATAACAATAATACACATGCCCAAATGCACGAGACAACCACGACTACGCGAAGACACTAAATATTATTTTCAGTTTAAAAGACATGATTAATATTGGAATTGGATAATAAGCACATGACTTAGATTTTGATTCGCTTGCAGTTACTATGGTGAAGGTTTTGCTCTAAAACAATGTGGGATGACAATCGAGCGCCCAACAGTAGAAGATTACGGAACATGGCGTTGTTCGGTGGGAGTAAATATGTTTGTGGGCACTGAAATACGCCAACAGCCGACGATGCAAGCGCTGATTAGCGTACCACAAAACACATGTAAGCAGAAATTTTATTATACCCGTAGTCTCTTCAATCGTAGTTTTGATCACCGCCAAATGAGAATATATAAATATATACAATACAGCTATTATTTTTTGTCTATGTTAGATACATTAAAGATATATCTTCTGTAATAAATTTGTGTCATAAATATTACAGATAGTCACCAAAATCCTGAAAATACGCAAACCACTATATTCGTGCAAGAAAATTCTCAGTTTACAGTAACATGCAACGCTAAAATCTCTTTGTCTTATTGTTGGTTTCAACATCCGAATGGAACTCAATTTACCCCTGTTTCACTCTCCGGTACAGAACAGATATTTTGGTAAGAATTTTATAATTATTACTATTGGTAGCGATTTTATTTAAATAATAATTAAGAATTATTTATTCATTTATTGGTTTATAGTGCAAAAGTTAATCGTTCGCAAATTTTAAAAATCGTCTTTTTATTTAACGACTTCTCATCTATATTCTAACATTATATATATATATATATATATATATATATATATATATATATATATATATATATATATATATATATATATATATATATATTCGGATATATTTTTTAATTAATTGAAACATTAAAACAGTACATTTTTTACAATGACATGAAAATATGTAGTACAATAAATATGCGCAGGTATATAAATATTTATATTTTAGGTATGCTGGCGAGAGTCTAGATGTAGGCGATTGTAGTATTACTTTCAAATACGCCATAAACACTGATGGTGGCGAATGGACATGTCACATGGGACCTAAGAACAGTTTAGGTGTAGAATTAACGGATAAGGTTCAAGTTCGAGTGACGGGACCCTTAGCGGCTAATGAAAAAGAAATCGGAGTGAACATCGGGTCTAATGCGACATTATACTGCCATACCGCAAATGGAAGGCGACCATTGAAATATTGTAGATTCCTATCACCGACTTACATGGGCATGAACATGGATTCCTCGATACAGGAGAATAAGTAATTTATTTTGTTCTTTTATCATAAAAAATATATAAATTAATTTCTAATTCCGGGACAAAGGGACAAACGTGTGTAAATTTCATTTCAGCATTTTTCAATTGTACTCAAACTCCCCTCGTTCTATGTTTATAATGCTTTTATGATTTTATTACACTTTCATTTCAGCGCTATACTCAATCGATATTACTTTACCCCTGAGCGAGATATAAATTTTGGGGATTGTTCGTTAAATATTATATCAGTTCAAGAAGAGGATATTGGGGAATGGACTTGTGGTGCTGTTGTTGATAATGAAATCTTAGAATCTAGGGACATCATTAAAATTTACTTGAGCGGTAAGTTTATAAGTATTTTTTGTTTATATTTATTATTAATGGTTTATTATGTAATAACCTTCAAGGTCAAACTGACTACCATATTTCATCCAGTCAATAGTTATGTTCTGGTTGTGGTGTCCTCATATTCTAGTTTGTGACTTTTTTAGAAAATGATATCAAAAATCAGTAATTCGGAGGTATCTTGTCTCTAAATGCACTAAGGTCCAAATAGTAATTTTAGCAAAAAATCCTGCAACTTTGTAGGAAACATTTTTCAATTTTTCACGGTTTAAGGAAGAATTTTTACACGGAGAACAAAATTCATATTTCATATATTTTATTTGGCAATAAATTATTAAACAAGAGCCTCAGTCCTAAATAGAACTGGTAAAAGAAACTTAGCGGGACTAAAATTATTTTTATATTGTTTTTTTGTAATTGAAATTATAATTATAAATAACAATAATTCTAAAATACTAAAGTAGCCTGGAAGGCGATCACATTATTCCCAATGAGAGTCGTCTTCTATAAAATCATTTATTGTATAATAAATTACCTTTGGTAGGTACACCAACGTTTTTTGGCATTTTTTTATCTAGAAAATACGCTTTTTGAGAGTTTTCTTTGAACCATTCTTATTGTAAAAACATATACATTGTTCGTAAAAGGAAGTCCTGACGCTTTGTAAACGAATCACAGGCATTACAAGTTTGTGTACAAGTTTACAAGGAGCGGAGTCAAAAGTCTCATTTTTTTACCAATTATTATTTGTTCAATCTTCTTTAATTCCATAAGATAAATTAGAAGGTCATATTCCACCACGCTGGCCAACCCGCATTTGTCCAGTGTGGTGGATTATGGCCTGATCCCCCTCGTACTGAAGGGAGGCCCGTGCCCAGCAGTGGGACATTAAAAAGGCCTGAATACAATACAAATCAGGAGGTACGTTTTCTTTTATGAATGATGATTCAAGTTATTTAACTTTTCTTAATTAAAGTAACTTATTTAAAGTTTATGTTTTCAAATTTTTCTGTTAATAATAATGAAAATAAATTTCGCAAATTTTTGCGAAGCTTAACTCTACATTTGGGAAATTTATTTTCTATATTTTGAAGTTATAATTCTTTTGGCACGTTTGGAAAAAAATATGAGAGTAAAATTTTTACGATGCGCGCGCACACCGACAGCCAAAAAGCGACAGGATGATATTAGCTGAAAACGACATGATGAAGCTAGCTGCATTCCTTTTACAAACATGACATACGTGATGAAATCTTTATCTATTTTTGTTCTGTTATGACAAAGAAGTATAACTTCTTTTGTGCGTACATAAGTACACACGCACGTTTTTTTATTTAGCTATATTTTTTCGATAAGGTGAATCTAGCCGCGTTCGCTCAAGGTCGCAAACTCTGAATATCACCAAAAAATTCAAAACTACTACATTTATTAAAAATCTTCGTGATTTTGCGAAGCGAAAGCCAGTTTTTGTGTCTATATTGATAGGATTCATTTTTTGTACCATCAAGCTACAATTATTTTTATATTACTCTATATTTGGAATACATAAATATTATTATTTTCAGAAACACGTCTTCCACAATTTCGTGCTGGCATGATTGGTATGTCCGTAGGTCTCAGCGTTCTTGTCGTCGTACTAATCGGTTATGTTTCTCACAAACGCGCATGGTTACAATGGATTTGTGCAAAAAATACTACAGAGACCATGAGGTTACAAGAATTATCTTTAAATTCACATTGATTTTAAATAACAGGTGAAAGTGGTAGTGATAGAATAAATTCACGTGAAACTTCATAAAATAGCTATACCTTTTTGATTTAACTCTAAAAATTACTAAAAAAAAATCTAAAAACTATAGATTCGGCCTCTATATCGATAATAATGTTTATTTCAATAAGATTTTCCAAAAAATATTTAATGTACAGTTTTCGGTTTTGTTACAATTTTATTATATGTATAGATTAAATAATAATTTTATCGTATATTTTTTTATTTTTGTTAGAGATTGATGTGATTCTTCTTCAATATTAATTGTTAATTGTAATTGAATTTATTGTTTGTTTAAAATAAAATTAATAATAATTCTTAATTTATGTCATTTGTATTATTTTTCCTGTTTAATTAATAGAATGTAAACTATAAAGTCTGATAAGGTAAATCCTAATTACAATTAAATATCATGAAAATATATCACATTTTATCATGTTTATAATTTTCTCTTTTAGCCTATACTCCATACATATTATTGACATTAACGAGACTATCGATTGAATTTAATGAAATGTTAAACGTAAATAAAATAACATTTTTATTGTTATTGTGTTAAAATCAGAGTTTTTAAAACAATTTAAGGATATTATTTTTATAACATTAAAGTGTATTTTTATTTATGGATAAATAAGCATTTTGCTTGTAAGCTGTAGTTAGAAAAATATTATAATTTAGATACAGAATTTCTTACTATTAAATAATAATAAGTGCGTGTCGGGACTCGGGACTAGGGTTCCGTAGTTGCCCATCACAATAATGCGGACTAAGAAGATGGCTTTTTGTTGTTTTATACTATGAACGTTTAACAGTGGACGGTTTTGGCGACTCATAGTAACAAGTAAATTTTGTAAGTTGGTCGACTATTACTCGTAAACTTGTAAAGCTTATTTCTGTGATATATTTTTTTAAACTTCGTTATATATACCTACTACAACCGTGATTTTTTCACATATCCAAAACCAACCATTTATCTGGCAGGCGGGAAGAGACACATGACCCTAACAAAAATTAGCATTTTGAAGCTTAATATTACACAATCGGATCCCTTAATCGAAAAATTGCTTTCTCAAACCCATAATATTTTTGAAAGGCTATCTAATGGCACCCTCTAACAAGGGGTAGACGAGAAAAAAAAAACATCTCTACATGTAGAGGAGGTACCCTAAAAATTTTTTTGCAAGATTTTATAGATATACCACTTTGTAGGCGTATGACTAATTTTCGTCCCAAATTACAGCTTTTTAGTACAAAGAGTCTCTGAGCTAAGCTGCGGACATGGCTAAACTATAAGGGTCCCTTGTTGACGATAGAACATTAAAAATGTACATATACCTACTGAATGGCAGTTAATTAAGCATTTTTGTATTTTTAATCAGAAATGTATTATCTGTTCTTAATTTAACCTTTAGAGAACGTTCAGCTTATAAGTACTGCATATATTTGACAGGTACATTTTCGGCTTTGTTTTGATTCAAAATTATTAAGATAATATTTAGGTATATAATCTACCTGATCTCACAATCAATAATTAATATTGTTAGATATTCATACGGAACTTTTTACGGATCATATATGCGTGCCTACTATTAAAAAAAAAAATCCTAATCAAATATTATTGACATCAGTGGCGTTCAGGCGTTTCTGCCACGTCTCTATCTCATTCTACTCTCTTGACACTGTTGTTTTAAGTGTGTTCTCACACTTAAGTAGCTTTTCCAACGCTACCTTACCTCCGATTTCAAAGTTGGACTTACCTAATTAGATAGTTTAGTGACACACAACCAATTACCTATGCATAAGTCAATTACCTACGCCTCCTAACGTAGAGTCCCCGACAGGAATATCTATACAGCGGCCAATATGGAATATTAAGAAGTATGTAAATCAACACACATTTTTAATACATAGGTATATAATAATAATATTAATATTAGAATATTATATACCTAAACAAAGCTATGCGAGGTAAATATCATAAATAAAATTAAAATATTAAGTATTACAATTAAACAAACAAATAAAAATTATGGATAACAAAAAAATAATTATATGTTTGTATACGAAGATAGACAATAAAACTCCTTAATAGGCTGTAGTAAATCAAAGTTTGTTCGGGGCTTCAGGCTGTTACTATTTTAAGAAATTATACTAACGACTTTGTCAAGGTCTGATGAAGAGTTTTATATATGAACTAGCGACTCTCCCTCGCTCCGCTCGGGTTCGCCCCTATTTACGATTTTCCAAAAAATATTTAATGTACAGGTTTGGCTTAATTACAATTTTATTATATGTATAGAATAATGGATTCTGTAATGTTTGTGTATTTCTATGTTTATACAGGTTAGTATTTAGAATATCTGAAAAGATTTTTTACATTTAAAAACCACGCAGCATTCCAACCAACCCATGGTATGTTTGGTAACGTTTAACTCAGTATATGTAGCGGTGCCGATTTCATATCTGACGATTGATTTTGTCATCGAATCAATCAAGTTGAGTTCGTGTGAGTAGCATCATTTTGATGAGACGCTAAAGGTGTTTCTGTAAAAATTAGCGATATTGGTAGCTAATAGCGGGTTACCTGTACCACGGTAATATTTATGCTAACATTACCGTTTAAGGGTAACCTGTTTTATTATATACTTACCTGTATAATATGTCAAATGTTGATTGTCTAAACTTTGATACTAATAGTTTACAACTATTTCAACTAAATTTAAAGTGATTCACTTTAAATTGAAAATAATTTAATATTAGTATTCAAAAAAACGTTTGTCCTCCAAAACAATATATATGTATTATGAAAAAATAAATTATTACTAATCAACAGTTTTTTTTTCATACTACTTAATTAATATTTGCATAATTTAATGGTCACATTAAAACAGGACTACAATTTAATTGTATATGTTAAACCAATGTTTACTTGTTAATTTTTACTCTATTGTGCAGACGGTAATCGGTATATGGATGTACAATAGGCCCAACTTTTTGGGCAAAATATTCACAGAAACTTGGGCCTGACTTATAATAGGTACCCTAAAATTGTACTGTTTGTATTTACAATTTTTCCGAGAGAGAAGAAAACTAAACGATAATCTAGTACTAAATATAGCAACACTTTATCCCCTTCATAAGTAATTCTAATTAAAAATAAAATAATATCCGATTAAAATATTGTCTAAAATTAAAATGAGATAGGCTTGATAACTGTACCATATTATATAGACATCATGTAGCGACAACAACCTAATGTCCATCCTTGTTTTTCAAACAACTGCAAATATATTGTTTTATGATCAAGCTCACAGCAAGATGCTAACAAGAGAACGGTCTATTGAAATGTAACTAAAATGTATTTAGGAACTTACATGTATAAATTTTCTTCGTTCTCTTATACATGAAAAAAATATAAAATGTCTATGGACTTCCGGTTCCTTTCGCTTTGGCGTTTGCTATACAGTCATTACCTATTTATATTACAAAATATCAAATTGATAGAGTTCAATTGAAAAATTTACAATAAAATATATTTGTATTCAGCCCTTTTTTTAACGTCCCACTGCTGGGCATGGGCCTCCCTTCAGCACGAGGGGAATCAGACCATAGTCCACTACGCTGGCCAAGTGCGGGTTGGCGGACTTCACATGTCTTTTGAAAACTTGCTAGGTTCTCTCAGACATGCAGGTTTCCTCGCGATGTTTTCCTTCACCGTTAAGACAAGTGGTAATCATGTTGGAAATGATTCGCACATGAAAATATCAGAGGTGCGAGACCCGGGATTTAAGCTCACTCCATTCGGTTTCCCAAGCGAGCGCGTTACCACTGGGCTACTACTGCCTTCTAAAAAAAATATATATTTATTATGTATAAAATAAATAATGATAAATCTTATTTTATTAATAATACTTTTTTACTTTTAGAAATAAACGTTAATTATTTTCTATAAATATATAAATAAAAGTTAGAAAAAGTCGAAGAGAAGAGAGTCGTCGTACATAATATAATATAGTTCATACACGGCTGTTGGGACTTGAGTATTTACATCGAGGCGCAACACATGACGCTACGGTCCATCTAAATCGCGCTATGGTTTTGTTCAGTGGAATCGTATATTATAGGCATTATTTTTATTATACTCGGGAATATCAATTGTTTTATTACTTTTAAATGGCTCCAGATATTATTATTGGATATCCCTAGGTATTTTTGGGACATGGTCACACGGCTGTAACTATAGCAAGAAGTTTAGGAAAAAAAGTTTTATTATATTTTTTCGGTCTGGCTCCCATCCGCTCAAAGCGTGTAACGCGCGATAAGGAACCTCGTTCCAAAAAAAAAAACGGGTTAATGCATTATTTTAATATGCTGCTGTCCCTTTCACGATGTAGTTCTATTTCTTATATTCTTTAAAGAAAATAATAAGGAAAGTAAGTAAAGAATTAGATTAAGGAATATTCACTACCGCTAGCTCAAAACGAAACAAATTTTTAAGTGCTATTTGATATATTTTCATTTGTATAATAATACTAATGTAATTATTTTTTTTAAATAAATTATTTTCATTTAATCATCAAAATTATATCTATAAAATAGAAATATGCTTATAGAAGTACTGTATATCTATGAAATATGTTACATATATATATCATAAAATTGTAACTAAGTGGAATCTGTACATTAAATATTTTTTGGAAAATCTAATTGAAATAGACATTATTATCGATACAGAGTCCGAATCTATAGTTTTTAGAATTTTTGTCTATATGTCTGTCTGCATGTTACCGCATCACGGGAAAACTACTGGAGGGATTTTGTTGAAATTTGGTATGGTGATGGCTGGTTATCCGGGTCAACATACAGGATACTTTTTACCGCGAGAAAATATCTAATTTCTAAGAAAAAAAATACAAAAACTGCATTGTAAAAGTAAACTAATATATTATAAAACCTAAGGGTTTGGGTTTTGGTCATTTGAACGCGGGCGGAGCCGCGGGTAATGCTAGTTATATAATAAAATCTACTAAAGACAACAAACACATCCTGAACCCTTCAGCTTTATGCTTTATCGTGTAACAGTTGGGCCCAATTTCATCCATCTTTCGTTTGATTAATAAGGCAATGAAAATGAATTTGTAAAAGGATTTTATAGCCATTTTTTTATTAGAAAAACTAAATATTGAAGCAACTAAAACATTTTTTTTCTTATATCAACTGTTTAACGACTACATTTTTTCTTTCTCTCTGTATTTATTTTAACCTTTAATATTCTATTTGACATCACTGTTCTAGTCATCACGATGTAAATTTTTTTGTTGGACATTAACACACAGCACCATCTGGTTCCATGGTATGGTAAGCTACGAGGCTTGTGTTACGGATACCAGATAGTTGATACACTACACATATATAAACTTTAAATACATATTATAAATATAAAAACCCATGCAGAGGCGGACCGTGAATTTGGGGGCCCTGGGCTAACAGTTCTTGGGGTCTAAACTAAATGTCATTTTGTCTTATAAAATAATTATAGATAGTACTGGACGAAATTAAGGTCGATATTGTTTGCTTCTCAATAGATTTTTTATTTTATAAATTCACAATATTATTCATAGTTTTCAATAGGGGGCCTGATACATCTATAGGGGCCCTGGGCTGCAGCCCCAAAAAGCTTATACATATATAGGTCCGCTGCACCCATGACTGGAGTACATATTACATTCGTGCTCATCACACAAACCCGCAACCGCTGGTACCACAGCAAGTAGGGTCACTAAAAACTGAGCCAAATGTGTCGTCTATGACCATATGGATAACGGTTTTGAAAAAGGAAAATCTGATAACTTGCCTGAAATAGACCGGTTAATGGTTGCCCACTATTTTTCTAATAGCTCCGATTTCATGGCCGCCGAGATGCGAGGAGTAAAAATTCAAAAGTAAGTATTAATAACATATTACTTTTTAGTTTTTATCATAAATATTTTAATCCCTTTAAATATGTACATATTTTTCATTACTAGTCCATACTTAATATTATAAATATGAAAGTATGTTTGTTTAAGGAAGGTTTTACGTAATGTTGTTGATCTTTCTAAGAGTAGTGCTAAGTAATGCGACAGTAGTGTTAAAATAAAAGAAAGCATTATTTATATTTTTGTTTATTAATTTTTGGTGTAAATTTTTAAAATTTAATAAAAAAAAATTGATTTTATAAAAAAATATTTAAGTTATATTATCACAACTTCAAGGCTTTTCTTTATATTCCAGTATGAGGCGAGCAAGTGTTACTTTTGAAAAGAAATTATTGATGGTTTTAACAATTGTTTTGACAATTTGCTTCACAACCGGTGGGGCGAGTTCATCCATAATTTGTTTCCAATTTTTATTAACAAAGTTTAGTGTAGTTTCCGCTAAAAATAAAAGCATAAATATTTTAAAACTTTGCTTGTAAATACTCTTTTAATTCTACATATAACTTATAAGTGAAGTAAAAATAAAAACATGAATAAATAGGTATATTGAAATGAAGTATATCACCAATCAGTACGTTCGAATCTATGACTTAAGTACATAATAAATATTCTATAGAAGTATTATTTAGAAATTTATGTAGTAAAATTACCTATTTCTTTATTGCCGTTGAATAAGTTCTTCAAATCGAACGTAGTGGATTGTATGTCGTATTTGTAGGTAGGCGCTAGTAATTTCAAGTGATCACCTTTACTCCCTTTCACGCGCTTTAGCTTGCTGCTAAATTCTACTTCAATACCATCTAAAATTATAAATAAAATCTATATTATTTTGTATAACATCGCTTGTAGTAAATGGATGAACAACAAAAACCCGTATTTTCTCTTAGCATGAGTAAAAAGTCATTACGTTTTATCTACGTTTAAAAATAAAAAAATGACTAGGTATATTGAAGAGGAAAATAAATAATCCATGAAGAAATATGAAGAAAGTATAAGGAAATGATTTATTAAAGGTAATAATCACTAAACAATAAGTTGTCCTTTCAGTTATATTGTATTGTATGCCATGATTAAAATATTCTAAAGGATAATTTTTAAGGTTCCGTAGTCAAATGGTTAAAACGAGACCCTTATAATTTTACCATGTCCGTCTGTTCGTATGTCACAACCAACTTACTCGATTTATAACTTTTATCAAAGAGTCACATAAGTTTTTAAATAACTGTCGATATACTTCTGAAGTAAATGTGACACATGCAAGTATAAACATAAAATTTTATTACAGTTAATTATAATTCTTGTAGTTTTTAGAACTACCGGTTATTAGTTATATGTCAATTATATGCAAATTGTATGACTTAACAATACGTCAAAGATTTTTTATACCATTGATGTAAGTATAATTCTAATTATTCCGTAATATTATCAATAATAAGATAAATGGAGATACCATTCTCTCTTTCATTTAGTCATTAAGAGCATGACTAACATTTCGTAAGGACAAACAATTATGATTAAATATTGACATATATAAATAGTAAAATAATAATAATATAATGTGGTTTTTACACAGTAATATTCGTATAAATATTTTACAACAAATATTTATTACAAATGTAATTTTTAACGTAGTTATTTTATAAAAAAATACTTACAGCATTCAATCAGGGCATCTCCTTCACCTTTTATAGGAAGAAATAGAATTTGACCATCTGCAATGTATTGGGCGGTTAAACTGAGATTTGCAGTAACTCCTATTTTAATCGACTCTTCTTCTGAGCCAAAATTAAAACTGTAACAACATAATTAATATAATAAGTTTTTTTTATTACAACAGATATCCATTATGATTTATGAAAGCCAATGAGATAATTTGCATACAATGTTTAAGTTTTCAAAGGTGCAAATTGAATGATAATGCTGCATAAGCAGCTTGATTCAATTGTTATTTTATAAGTGTTTATATAGATTAGAATACCGAGAAGTAGAACCCAAAGAATGTTTTAATAAATTTTCGCTATATAGAGCTAAACCTAGTAGAGTTTATTTACTAGCTCTACTAACTGTAATAGTTTAGCTATTACTTTTCATTTGTTTACTAAACAAACAATATGGCTTACTCGAACTGAGTAAGTTTGCTATTGCTGAGTCCATGCATTTGAGCATTTGTAAATTTCAATTTTAGACCAGCTCCATCAATGTGGATGTCGTCCAAGTTCACTGGATCAGTAGAATTCACTCCAAGTTCGGGTATCCCCTTTGAAAAATTTCCAAGGGAGTCTATCATTTGTTTTTTCACACATTCCTTAAAGTCCGGTTCTGTCATCGTACATGGATGGATGTAGTCAGCTGCAAAAAAATATTTACTTATTAAAAAAAATATTGTACTTCTCTTTTTTTTTTTTGAAAACGAATAGTCAATAAGGATTTTTTTTTCATTTTTATTGTTAAAAATGAACGTCGTTTCAATAATTGTAAAAAGAAATACGATCCTATATATTTATATTTTAAATATTAATGTATTTTAAATTAATTTAGCAGATTTAGTTGGTTATATTAAGAAAACTAAATATTTTGACTATTAAGTAAAATTTTGGTGCCTATTGGAAATACGAAATATCTATATATTATCTATATATTAGATAATATATACCTACTATATTAAAAGTTGTAAAAGCATCTGAAAAGTTGTTAAACAAAATATTTAAATAAGAAATAAAAAAATAAATGAAATATTTATTATATTACTTTTCGAAATAGTGTTTTAGGTTTCAGTTTTTTTTTCTATTTTGATTTTGACATTATAAAGCAACTTTTCCCTATGCACAAAATACAAACGTGATACGAATATCTATCTATATTTTTGCTAATATCTTTTGTTATCTCTAGGTAAGTCTGCATAGCTAAGTGATTATATTATAATTATTGTGTTTTATAATATATTTTAGCGTGTATGAAAAAAAGTGTATTTTAATTTAATAGATTACACAGATAAAAAATAGAGAGTTCGTCATAGAAGAAATAAGTTTTTGAAGTTATACTTCTTTTGGCACGATTGGTAAAAATTATGAAAGTAAAATTGTTACGATGTGAGCGCACACCGAAAGCTAAAAAGCGACATGATGAAGTTAGCCGAAAGTAACATGATGAAGTTAGCTGCATTAGTTTTACAAACAGTGAGTTGTGACATACGGGATGAAATCTTTAGCTATTTTTATTCTGTTACGCTAAAGAAGTATTCTTATATAACTTCTTACATGCGTACATATGTAAGTACACACACACATGTTTTTTTTAAGTGTGTAAATAAATAAGTTATCCCGGTACAGAAATGTCAGTGCACCACACTTATGTTTTTTTTTTTAATATTTTCTCATGTTTCATAATGTCTAATCTAAATTTTATTAAACATTATTGATAGTAAAGTTTATCGGAGTCATTAAATACATTGTTGTAATATTTAGATATTATGTACTAGCGACTCACCCTTGCTCCGCTCGGGTTCGTCCATACTTACGTTTTAACTTTTAGTAAATTTCTTTTAGTAACTTTAGTAAATTTCTCAGAGATGAGATGTTTTCCCGCATTAAAAAATATCCTATATGTTGACCCGGAAAACCAGCTATACCAGCCATCATACCATCAAAATCTCTTCAGTGGTTTTTCCGTGATACGGTAACAGACAGACCGACAGACAAAAATTCTAGAAACTATAAATTCGGCCTCTGTATCGATAGAAAAGTCTATTTCAATAAAATTTTCCATAAAATATTTAATGTACAGATTTAGCTTAGTTACAATTTTATTATATGTATAGATTAATTTAACAAATTACGTATTTCCCGATCTGTCTATTTTAAAGACAATATTTAAGAAAAACTGTTAATTTTGCCAATTATGCAGATATGTATAATTCTTGTTCTGCTATTTAAATACAAAAAACAATTTGAATTAATCTATTGGTCACCTAACTTGTTTTTGTAACCTAGGCATGTTGCTAGGTAGGTAGTTATAAGATATAACTAGCTACCTAGCAACATGACTTCGCTTCATTTTACCGCGTTGCTAATCAGTTCTTATAGTAAACTAGCATTGCCCGCGGCTCCACCCGCGTTCAGATGACCAAAAAGCAAATTCTTAGGTTTTATATATAAGTTTGTATTTTTTCTCAGAAACGAGATATTTTCCCGCGGTAAAAAGTATCTTATAAGTTGACCCGGATAACCAGCTATCACCATACCAAATTTCATCAAAATCCCTCCAGTGGTTTCTGTGTGACGCGGTAACAAACAGACAGACAGACAAAAATTCTAAAAACTATAGATTCGGCCTCTGTATTGATAATAATGTCTATTTCAATAAGATTTTCCAAAAAATATTTAATGTACAGATTCGGCTCAGAATTTTATTATACGAGAATGAATAGATTTTGATGAAAACCTTATAAAGTAATTATCCCTATGCTCGATTTAAGGTCCATGATTTGTTTCGGTGCAACGAGAAAGAAGAAGCAACAAAAACACCAACACACACATCGAGAATTATATTGTAATAGATATTAATCTTAAATACTATCTAATCTCAGGATATCAAGTGCATTGTATATTGTAAGGTATTAAGATATCGTACCTGGATTTTTATAATATTTTAATCTATATACCTACATATAATATATAATAAAACAGAAGTAAGAACTAAGCGCAATCTGTACATGAAATATTTTTTAAAAACAATCACTGTAGCGTATTTTGTACATAATATAGACTCCAAAACAATAGTTATTAAAATTTTTGTTCGTTTGTTTGTTTGTCTGGTTGCTTGTTTGTGTGTGTGTGCTTCACGCGAAAAGTAATGAATCATTTTTAACGAAATTTGGTAAAATGATAACTTATTACTCGGGTCAATATTTAGGGTACCTCTTACTTCAGGAAAATCTTTCATTTCTACAGGAAAACACAATTATTGATTCTATCGAGTCATCCTTAGAAAATATGGTTAACGCTAACTTAATCTTAAGGGATACATCATAACAATGTACTAGAAAATGGTAGTTCTTAAAAAGGCCTACAGAAAAATAGCACATGCCTACCTCCTAAGGTATACTCGCAATAATTATTTCTATTATAACTATTTTTATTTATTATTTAGTTAGTATAGATTTCTCAGAGATGAGACATTTTCCCGCAGTATAAAGTACTTATCCTATATACCCGGATAACCAGCTATCATCTTTCTCTCGTGATGGTTTTCTCGTGATGCGTTCCCAGACAGACAAACACACACACACACACAGACAAAAATCCTAAAAACCATAAGCTCGGCGTCTCTATAGATAGATTAAAGGCAATGTCGCGACTCACTGACTTATTAACGTTCAGTCCAAGCCGATGATGATAGACCAGTACGACAAAAAAAAACCCAGGTTTATATCCATACTAAAATCAAATGCGAAAATAACTGTCTGTCTGTCCTTTTCACGCTTAATCCGCTGAACCGATTTAGATGAAATTTGGTGTGCAGATAATTTAAGACCCTAGGAGCATTACCTTTCTCACCCATCACTCTCACTATCCCGTATTTAAAAAGATGGATTTATAATATTAAATAAAGAGTTATCATCTGTTTATGGAAAAAGCTTTTTAGCAGGTAAATATTTAAAGCTCAATTGTGTTGTATAATATAATACCGGCCAAACCTGATTTCAGTTAGAACTAGTTTTGCCCAGACCATACTAGTTTGGTAACTTACAGCTATATGCGATGCGAAGCCCATCAGTATAGGCCCAGGCCAAACTTGTTTTAGATATTTATATCCGACAGGATAGCTAGCCGAACGTTGCCGATGTTTTGAGTTATATTGGAGCAGTGCATTGATTTAGGTACCGTTTCGATCTGTTTTTATTTCTAAGGTAAAAGAAGAGGTTGAGTTTGATCTCATACTCATCTCAGTAAACGCATGACGAATATTTGTTAAGAAATAAATACAGAAGTAAAATCTTGCCAACAGATCGTAATTCTAGCAACAATAGAATTGTAAATTTCGACATTGATATCTCATCTTTAATTAATAATAGGTACTTCTTTTATAATTTCAGATTAATTTACATTTTTGCTGTTGTATAGTAGTTTCATTAATATCCATTAATGACTAAGGAATATTTAGCAGAAAATAATTAACTGTAACAACATAAATCGATAAAAGGCAGAATTTATTATCTTTATTGGAAGTTTTATTTAAATTTATTCGTATTATATCACTACTAGCATTGCTCGCGGTTCCGCCCGCGTTCAGATGACCAAAAACCAAATTCTTAGGTTTTACATATCAGTATACTCTTACATTGCAGTTTTTCTATTTTTTCTCAAAAATGAGATATTTTCCCGCGATAAAAAGTATCCTATATGTTGACCCGGATAACCTGCTTTTATTATACCAAATTTCATCAAAATCCCTCCAGTGGTTTTCCGTGATGCGGTAACAGACAGACAGACAGACAGACAGACAAAAATTCTAAAAACTATAGATTCAACCACAGTATCGATAATAATGTCTATTTCAATTAGATTTTGGAAAACCACTGAAGGGATTTTGATGAAATTTGGTATGGTGAGAGTTAGTTATCCAGGTCAACATATAGGATACTTTTTACTGTTGGAAAATATCTCATCTCCGAGAAATCTAAACTAACTCTTAAAAGTTACCAAGGGATGAACTCGAGGGTGAGTCATTAGGATAACATATAGTCTATCTATTCCATACTAACCGTTAAAACGTACCTAATGACGAACCCGAGTGAAGCATGGGTGAGCCGCTAGTTCTAATAAACTAGCGACGACTACTAGAACTACTTCTATATTTAAACTCATCTACAACGGCAAATCTCATTTATTTTTGAAACGACGGTACCGATTATAAAGATGATTTTCAGACAGACATGTTTCCAATGTCATAATAATATTTATTATTATACATACTTTATTGAATATGCAAATACAAAACCTTTAATATGGTTAAGCTATTATTGATATATCAATTATGAAAAAAATACCTAAACACTTATTATAGTGGTAGAACAACCTTTTTTCGGTTAAAAACTATGTAATAACACAATATACATAATGTAGGTACTTACGTATACTCGTGTGTGTTCAAACGGAACTTTTTTCCCACAATAACTGATTTAGTTTGTTTACTTAGGTATTTGATTGTAAGTAATAGAGATTACAAGAAAATACGTGACACGAAATGATTAACCGTTTACTGAATATTTTCCAGTGCATTACGACGAAGAGAAATAAATATTGTGAAATCATCCTAATTTTATATATACATATATACTTCTACTTTTTCTCTATATTAAGTACCAGTAATAAAGATGAACGCTAGCCAACTTAAAATATTATTCATTATAATAATATTATCAATATTAGACTGCGCTAACTCCCAAAAGAACAGTACCTATAGTTTTATTTGTAATACGTTAAAAACACACTGTATATTTGGAAATAAAATTAAAAAAAAGTTATGCGATTGCCTTACACGGACAGCTTTGTTACTGCTTTAAACTAGGTGTCAATGAACAAAATATATATTATAAAAATATAGTGGGTTTAGTGCAGTTATGAATGTCTAAAGAATTTTCACTGTGTAAAATAGTAAAAATCTACATATTTTTTTTATTAAAACACTTCTTTATATGTAAGTTTTATGGTACCAAAACAAATACAAGTATGGTTGAACTTGACACAAGTAATTAAAATTTATTATTTTATTAGTCTTAAACACTCTAAACTCAATAATTATTTAAGCTAGTTAAATATTGGATATATATATTTTTAAGATGATAGATAAAATTAAAGTCATGTTATCCCTAAACCATATAAAAATATTTTTTTTTATTTTTTTTTATTTATTTATCCCTAAACCATAGTTTTTTATTTTTATTTTATTTTATTTATTTATCCCTAAACCATAATATTAAATCAACGTTAATTTTTTTAACAATTAATAAATAGACAAACGGATTTTTCCATAACTTCATAACTTATGTATCATAAGTCATTTTGCTCATTAGAATTTATGTGCAATAATTATAGTAACATTACTTTGTTAAAGATTTAATGTTACATTGTTATACTACTGTTTTATTACAATTGGTTTTTGATACAAAATCGCTTTGATATTAAATAGATCGCATTGTTGTTTGCGGTTGCAGCTACTGAAGTGTTTATGTACATGAGGTTATAAAATTAAAAAAATAAGGTATGAAGGCTTTCAGCTAAGGAGCTCTATGGCAACGTTCCAATTATTAATTTATTTTATTTTAAGACAATGAATCTGAAGTCCAAATGTGTAATTAATACTTTTGTACAAGATTGCAATTGGCATTAAGACCTCAAAACATAATAAAAATATATGACGAAGAATTAAAAGGTTCTGCTAGCACATTTATATCCATACTTTACTTAATCATTTTATAAATGTGAAAGTGTGTTTGTTTGTTTGTTTCTTTGTTAGTTTGTCCTTTGTTTGTCCTCACATGCATGATTTTTTGTGTGGAAATAGTTGGAGGGCCGGAGAGTGACATAGGCTACTTATTGTTTGTACCTAGGTATATCATTGTGTTGGCATAAACCTGTCATTAATTATATGGGGATGACACTGGCTCCTGCAACACGGTTTTTAACGAGCGCAGGGGCTAGGGAATTCTTTATCACCTGTATATTTTTAAAATTATGTCAATAAAGAATTTAATATTTATTTATTATTTTTACCGCGGGAGATGATCTCCTTCCCACGAGAAAACACGTTATAATACAACCCAAACACAAAAAAATTATGATCAGAATTACTTGAAACTTGGTATTAATGCTCTTCGATACAATTAAATCAATACGTGTTTTAGCATTTTTCAAAGTTCATCCCATAAGGGGTTAAAATAGGGGATGGGAATCGAAAAAAAAGTAATTATGGAAGGCCCACTACCGGACTGGGCTTAAAAGTTGTATGATGGATAGAAGTATAAAATAGAAAATTTTCAAAAAAATCTAATGATACACACATATACACAGAGTTTTAAAAACACGATTGAAAACTTAAAATTAAAAAGTCTCCATTAAAACATTTTAAATATTATTTTTTAATATTTATTTTCGTAAAGGTTCGAATAAAAAGTTTTTGAAAAAAAAAAGAACTTCGACCATTATTAAGAAAGTTATGAGCAAAAAAAAACAAAAAAGAGCGTTTTTTTTTTGAAAATTCGATATTTTTGAACTAGTAATCAAAAAAATCTCAAAATTTAAGAGGCTTCCTGCTCTTTTGAGAGGTATTAAAAATACCAAAATATTAAAAAAATCAAAAATATTTTTTTTTTAAACCGTCCGATTTGGCGTGGAATGCGCCATATAGAACGCATCACACCCAATAGCTCCTATTAGAATAGGTGCCTCATGTTAGGAGTCTGGGAACAATCGTTGAATATAGATATTAGTGTGATTATATCAAACTGTCTGTCGAGACTTAGGTCAGTGACCAGGGGGCTAACGTGGTCTTCATAATATTTTCTGAGATTTACGCGAATATTTGACATTTTAAATAAAACTATCTTTTCGGGAGAGACTTCGCTTTGCTTTGTATGGGCTGGCACCGATTTCGAAAATATTTGATTAGGTATGTATTTAATAGGTAGGCTTTAATTACTTAGCCAAAGCACACCGACTTCGAAAATATTTGATTAGGTATATATAGTAAATGAAAACTACCAATCAGTTATTTTTTACTTTTTAGTGCTTTTGTCGGTTTTTATTTTTTTTGTTAAAAAGTTTTTATTTTTCCCTTTTTAGTGTAGACAGTAGTAGCAAAGTAAGAATTCTAACGTGTTAGGCTTGTCAAATCCAACAAAATAAGCCCAAACTCAAAGTATCTACTATTAGCCGTTGAAGAGTTCCACCTATCCACCTTCTAGCCTTACCATCAGATCAGGTCAACAATACCGAACCACTGTACTTTCAACGGAAATAGAAATACTTGCAAAGTTTCAAGTCAATATGACAATTAGAAGTAGGTTAAATCATCATTAGCTATTTTTCCACCCTTAGGGGTGGTATTTTTTTTTGAAATTTAAATGGCACCAATCTGGAAGTATACACTTTCAAACAACATAAAAATTGTCCAAATCGGTTAATAAACGACAGAGTTCTGAGGTAACAAACATAAAAAAATAAATAAAAAAAATACAGTCGAATTGAGAACCTCCTCCTTTTTGAAGTCAGTTGAAAAGCATATTGAGGAAATAAGCATAAAATTAGAACAATTTTCTTAGGCGCTCCATATGTTGACCAAAACAGTTAATGTTCCGACTTTATTAACTGTATATCATGCATATGCCGCTTCATTGTTCAGATACTGCAATATTTTTAGGAGTAATTCGGCAGATAGTGATGTAGATTTTAAAGCACAAAAAAAATGTATCCGAGCAATATTTAAATTAGAAATTATTAAAAGTTGTAGACCATATTTTAAAAATTATAATAATATGACATTGCCAATTATGTACATCTATGAGACTATTAATTATGTTAAGAATAATTTATATTTATTTGAAAATTGTATGAGTGTAAGAATGCCACCCGCGATGTAAGACTAATTTTTCTCGAAGAGTGTGTTCAGTACTGGACCACTTTTATATAATCATTTGCCAAAAGATATTTTAGAAATTAATGTATTTAAACACAAATTGAAGAAATTTCTATTAGACAAGACGTATTATTCAGTTTAAGACTATATGTTGGATAAGGTGTAATATGTAATTTTAAACAGGTATATATTGTAATTAATTAGCTAAGTAGGTATTGGTATTATGTTTAATTATTGCATGCTGTAAAGCTGAAGTTGGCTGAATATTATTAAGATCTAAATGTAAGCCAATTTCGCAAATAAATATATTGATTTGATATGATTTAACTCCACGAGCGCAAAAGCAAGACAATTATAATATGTTAATCAGTTCAACGACTGGCTTGATGATAGACATGCATAGTAGTTTGCATACCATTAAAGATCTTTTATGTCGTAGAGTTAAAAAGGTATTTTTAAAGATAATCGAGATAGAAAAGCTGACCACCTATTTTATGAAGAAGCTGCAGGCTTTAAATTTTTAATTAAATATATAAGAAAAATAAATGAAATTTATTTTAATTATATTTTTTTAGTTATTATATAATAATCAAATTAAAAAGATATATTTAACATAATTATTAACTCATAAAATAAAATTATTATATTATAGGTATAAATATGTTAGAAATATAGGTAGGTATCTTATAACAATTTATATTTTATTAATTCTAGATTAAAAATATTAATCAATAAAAGTTTAAATTTAAATACTCACGAAAAAAATCATTTTCAGCCTTTACGAATGTTTGGCTACCGATAAAAAGCACAAATGCAATAAAGTACTTCATGACGTGTAAATAAATAATAAATTAAATGCCAGTTTTAATACAAGGATCACTCTGTGGTAAGAGAGTCGAGCACGCACTGTGACTGGAAGAGGATAGTTCTTCATATTTATAGTGTTATAGACTACTTTTTTTCGCGAACCTTGGCGAGATTCATGAGACGTTAGTGGTGTAACATTTTATTTATTTTCCTGCTATTTTTAAAAATGCATATTTAACTAACAATTATTATAAGTTACATTGAATAATGAGTATTTTTTGTTCTATATTCAAAACAAAATAGTCAAAATTCACACCACTAATTCATCCAGTAATAGGAGTCTACACCTACTAGCTGTAGTTAGTTGGGTGCAAGCGACTTGCTTGTAATGTAATCTTTAATACAATAAAAGTTTTTTTTTTAAATGTACTGTAACTTTTCGAGACAATAACTGAAGTTCATTGCTTATTTACCTACAAGTAAGATGCTTCATGATTTATGATTGAAGATTATTCGACTGATCTAATATCAATTATTAAATATTATTATTTTAACTTTTTAATTAATCAAAACATTATGTATTATTTTAAGTCAATTTTATGAAAGTGTCACGTATGTATGTACGCTTACGGTATGTCAGCAGTCAGTTGCAGTCACATTCGCACCTGACCGATTTTTATGGACGCCGAAAAGCTAAACTTTTAATTTTTAGAACATAAACAATAAAATTACAAAAATTATGATTTTGATAAACTAAGATACATAGTCTGGCCATAAATACTTACTTCTACAATTAAAAATAAATAAAATATTACATTTGAATTTGGAATCTGTCATTTTAATATGATTGTTCATTGTGCTTTTTTATTTTCGCGCCAATACATTGTAAAATATTTTGTGATATTAAAATGGAGTGAGGTGATAAACAGAACCGAATCGCTGTAACTGCATTACACAAAGTAGGTATGGAGCCAAATATAATTTTTAAAACTCTCCATACGCTTGGTATTAGTCAAATGTTTGTGTACCGGGCTATTGATAGGTACAATGAAACCTCTTCTCTTTGTGACAGAAAAAGATCTGGCCGTCCACGTAGTGTTCGGACGGAAAAAGCGATCAAAGCAGTAAGTGAAAGAATTCGAAGAAATCCTGTCCGAAAGCAAAAGATTTTATCTCGGGAGATGAAGATGATTGACACTGAGAACCATGTCGCGTATTTTAAAAGATGACTTAAGACTTGCAGCCTATAAGAGACACAATGGTCATTTCTTAACTGATAATTTAAAAAACATTAGGGTGGTAAAATCAAAACAACTACTTAAGCGGTACGCAAAGGGAGGTCACAGAAAAATTTTTTTACGGATGAGTATTTTTTTACAATTGGGCAATATTTTCACAAACATAATGACCGTATTTATGCTCAAAGCTCTAAGAAAGCTTCCCAATTAGTCAACAGAGTACATCGTAAGCATTATCCGACTTCAGTGATGGTTTGGTGGGGGGTGTTAGCTATGAAGTACTGACTGAGACATATTTTTGTGAAAAAGTATCAAGATTCTTGAGAAGGTAGTATAACCCCTTAACAACACCATGTTCAATAACTAAGAATGGTCCTTTCAGCAAGATTCCTCGCCGGGTCAAAAAGCTCGATAAACGCAATCTTGGTTAGTAACCCACGATAAGGACTTCATCAGAGCTGAAGACTGGCCGTCATCTAGTCCCGATATTAATCCGTTGGATTATGATTTATGGTCAGTTTTAGAGAGTATGGCTTGTTCTAAATGTCATGATAATTTGGAGTAGCTAAAACAGTCCATACGATTGGCAGTGAAGATTTTTTCCATAGAAAGAGTGCGTGCTTCTATTGATAACTGGCCTCAACGTTGAAAGGACTGATTTGCAGCCAATGGAGACCACTTCAAATAAGCTTTATATATATATATATATATATATATATATATATATATATATATATATATAAAGCTTATTCGAAGTATATATATATATATATATATTTAATGGTTTTATGTTAATGTATTAAACGAATACTTAACACTGTAATAATAATAAATGTTACGTGCAATAGAAAAAATGTTTTTTTCTTTGTAACAATATTAATGACCAGACTATGTACTCGTATATATGATGATAAATATAGGTACAACTTTATAAAATAAATGTTATCAAAAAAAAAACACAGATCTCGTGTCTGCCACGACCTTAGAGTACATTGAAAATGAATCTGCCAAATGAACTGAATTAAATTTTTATCATATTAATTACTAGCAGAACAATCGATTTTGCCCGCGTTCAGACTACAAAAAGTATTTGGATGCATAAAGATCTTATCTATACTTATAATAAAACTGTAGACGTCGAATATCTGTACATAGAAAAAATATGCTAAAAACCGAGTCAGGGGGATGCAAGAAGAGATATACAACAAATCCAGATTTTTTCAATTTTTTTGTTTCTCTGTCTGTTTGTCTGTTTGTACGGGCTAATCTCCGAAACTGCTAGACCGATTTAAATGAAATTTTGCATGGTGGTACCTTATATCCCCGGTCAACATTTTAGATACTTTTTATCCCGGAAAATTAAAGAATTCCCGTCGGATAGTTAAAAATCTATAGTAACTTATACAACTTAATACACAAAAACTATTGATTGGATTTTAATGAAACTGTGTTAGTTCATGCATCAGAATAACAAATAGGCTACTTTTTCTCCCGGAAAAATGTACGATTCCCGTGGGATAGATTTGTTTTTGTTTGTCTTGAAACCCGAGCGAAGTGAGGGTGAGCCGCTAGTAACTAATATATAATTTGATGAATGAAAGAGAAGAGAAGAGACATTAAAAGAAACAAGAAGACAGGCGAATAAGACACGCCTGTTAAAGTAACTAGCAGGTAATCAAACTAACAGTTAAACTAACTAGCAGTTTATCAAACTAACAGTTAAACTAACTGGCGGTTAATCAAATTAAGAATAAAACTAGCTGACAGTTAAGCTGACTGACAGTTAAACTAACTGACAGTTAAGGAATCTATCAGTTACACTAACTGACTGTTAAGCTAACTAGCCGTTAATCTAACTGACAGTTAAACTAATTGGAGGTTATACTAACTAACAGTTAAACCAACTAACAGTTAAACCAACTAACAGTTATCGTTACTGACAGTAAATCAAACTGACAGTTAAACTTATTGGTAGTTAAAATATCTGACAGATAAACTAACTAGCCGTTACTTACTGCTAATCTAATTGACAGTTAAACTTACTAACAGTTAATCTAACTAGAGGTTATACTAACTGACAGTCAAACTAACTGACAGTTAAATTAACTGACAGTTAAACTAACTGGCCATTAAATTAACTAACTGTAAACTAACAGACAGATAAATTAACTGACAGTCAAGCTAACTGATAGATAATCTTACTAGCCGTTAATCAAATTGACAGTTAATTTAACTGACAGTTAACCTTACTGACAGTAAATCAAACCGTCAGTTAAGCTTACTGGTAGTTTAAATAACTGACACTTAAGCTAACTAGCCGTTAATCTAACTGACAGTTAAACTAATTGGAGGTTATACTAACTAACAGTTAAACTAACTGACAGTTAATATTACTGACAGTAAATCAAACTGACAGTTAAACTTATTGGTAGTTAAAATAACTGACAGTTAAACTTATTGGTAGTTAAAATAACTGACAGTTAAACTTACTAACAGTTAATCTAACTGGAGGTTGACATGACAGATAAATTGCTCGTTTAAATATATTAGATATGAAATTAAAGGTGAGTAATATCTATCCATACTAATATTATAAATGTGAAAGCATGTTTGTTCGGTTTGCTCGTTCGTTGCTTTGTTCGTTCATTCGTTCGTTAGTTCGTTCATTCGTTTGCTTGTCCTTCTTTTACGTCGAAACAGAGTGACGGATTGGCATGATTTTTTGTGTGAAGATAGTTGGAGAGCTGGTGAGTGACATAGGCTACTTTTTACCGCGGGAACTCATCATACCTGTATGTGTTGTACCTGTGTGTTGTATATATATGTAATACACAGTCTATCTATTCCATACTAAGCGTTAAAACGAACCTAGGGACGAACTCGAGCGAAGCGAGGGTGAGCCGCTAGTATTTTATAATATTAAATGAACAATTCTTGTATGTATATAAATTTATTTCGTGTCTCTCAGAAACGAAATAAATTTGGATCACATTCTGTATTTAGATAAGGTTTTGCTTTTTAAGTTTAATTATGTAGGTATTTTGTAAATACTAAATTTTTCACAAAAAAGAACATTTTATTGAACCAATTATAGTTAGAGCCTTTTGTATTTGCTCTCATGATATCAAAAGATAAAATAAATATTTTGTGATACTTATCCATTACAATACAAGAACCCAATGATAACCTACTGAGCGAGCAGTTACGCCGGTCGGTCGCCCAGGTACTCAAATATTAATTATTTTAACAAATTATAATTGCAATATAATATAAATAACGTTGCATTGCATTTATATTTTATTATTCTACAAGTACATTTTTATCTATTGACAAAAAGTCCACATATTGTGTTTTTGTTATTCTTACCTTCAGATTAATTACAATAATCCGCGGTCGAAAGATTTTTCGGTTAATTATTCATTAGTTAATTAACAATTATTTCCTACTTGAACATTGCAAGTGCGCTAATTGTTAAATAACAAATTTGAGCTTTTTTCCTTTTTTTGGAGCTATTTTTGAAAAGTCTCAGAAGAGATTTACCGTTGGAAAAAATTAAAAAACATGTTATGTAAAGTGAAAACACTTTGTTATCAACAATTATTATTGTTCATTATCTATTCAGTAAGCTCTGAATTTTTTCGTTTCTTAAATTTTATATATAACTAGCATAGCCCGCGGATTCGCCCGCGTTCAGAGACCAAAAACCAAATTCTTGGGCTTTACATATTAGTATACTCTTACATTACAGTTTTTGTATTTTTCTCAAAAATGAGATATTTTCCCGC